GATATATATATATATATATACATATATAAATATACAGGGTGTCTCACTTAAGCGTTTAAGCGTTTCAGAACTTCTAAGAGGGGTAGGGTGCATCCTGACGAGTCGAAATCATATAGCAATGTGGGGTCGGATATATATATATATCAACGTTGAACTTTATTTCGTTAGAAAATTTAGATCAGTTCATTTTTGATTGAGAGAAATGAATTTTTTGGCGAAGTCAACTATTCTTCTCTTATGTTGATTGATTTGTAAGAAGTGAACATGACACTAATTTTCCCTAAAGGAGATGAGGATGTTTGTTTAAAACATTTTGATCAATTCTTGATAGACGTGGTAAATTCAAATTTTGTCTAACTTTATTCGCAGTTTCTTTTTTTCAACATGGTATCCTGACAATCATTCTTTTCTGTCAACGAGTGCAAGTTTATGGTCACCTAGTTCATTTTTTCATGTCATACATTCTAAGAATTTTTAGAAAATTACTTACCGTTCTAGATGTCCTGGTTTTTTTCTACAAATTTCCCTTTTTCAGAATGAGGAAGATGAAATATTTTGGGCAATATTCAAATGGTACGATGGAAGTCAACGAGTGCAAATTTTTTTTTCACAAACCATTCCTAATTATCAATTTTCAAATATACTAATTTTTTAATAATTAGGGAAGACAAAACAATGTCCGTATGATTTTCTTCAATTATCATTTGGATTTAAAAATCACAAAGTAGCAGGTTTATATTTGGAAATTTTTATTAGTTTACACAAGAAAAAAAAATTTTTACTCTTATTTTTACTTCAAAAATTTGCCCACAATTTCCTGTATGACTTCTGAAATTGGCGATTTTTCGCGTGTTCTTTCGCGTGTCTTAAAACGGACACCAGTCAAACTTTTGAGTCTCTTAATCTTCTTTTTTTTCTCCTTTTTATTAATTTTTGTGTTTTTACGAAACATTTTCATTACGAAATTACGAACAACATTACGAAAAGTATCAGCACCGGCAGTCAGGGTGCTGATACTTTTCCCCGTAAAATCCGTTTTTACCGGAACATGTCACGGAACAAAAAATCTGTGATCCACCGAAATTTTTACGTTGAAAATTTCTATAAAATCATTGAAACCACTCTAATTAAATATTATTGTAAAAATTGTGGTATAATATTTTACGCTAAAAATGAATTTTACGGTAAAAAGGATTTTATGGATGATGCACCCATTGTGCTGTTTCTTTATACCGTAATTTGATCAGTGTACTATAAGTTATTATTTTTTTAATTACATATTTTGCTTCAAAAAATTAATAAAAATTTCGTTTAAATATCTGATCCTTCGTTTATTTTATTCCTTAGATGTTTGCAGCTTCATTTCCTCTAGCTCCTGCGTTAGTGTTATTGTTTAATTTAATTGATATTCGATTTGATTTTCAAAGATTACTTTGGTGGTATAGAAGACCAATACCATTCAGGGATGATGATATAGGTATGTATGACATTAAACCAATCACAAGTATAACTGAAATTTAAAAAAACACTTGCAGTCGGAGTATAATAATGAAATGAATAAGTGAAGACGCGTAACATTTGATGAGAATGTGAGTGCAATAGTTGTAACAAAAAAAAAAAAGAAGAAAAAAAAAAGAATTAAACCTTCAAAGTGAAAGGATTCTTTCTCTTTTTTTAACACCTGGTATATTTCTTATTAAGAGCGCGTGCAATCATTTTTGCAAAATAATAATAATAATAATAAACAAAGATGATTTGGGTGAATACATAAAACAAAGTCTTGCAAAAAAAGAAAAAAATTCAATTTAAAGTTATTGTTTACAAAACTTTTTCGACAGCAACATTAATACAAATAATTTGTGTCGTCAATATTTTAATGACAAGCATACAATTTATAATTATATACGTAGAAAAAAATTCAGATAAAATTACCGTACTCTATGATAAGGACATAACTGGTAAGAAAAACATAATTTTGGTTAATACAACCAAAATATATGGTATTTAAGCCATTCATTTGGTAATTTTTCCGTTCACATGGAAACGTTTCACCTGAAATTCTGGTTTTCAAAATTATAATTCTTATTACCATACATATAGTAAAAAACACAAAACTGAAAAGTAATTTTAACCGAATAAATAGCTTTTATACCATGATATAAGGTATCATGATAAAAATTCCCAAATTTCAAGAAACTTACCAAATTCTTTCGCATATTATAATACCATATGTTATTGTAAATGTTACCAAAACCATTACCAAAATGCTTCCGTAAAAATACGGTAAATTTACCATTTTCTGGTAAGTTTTAATTACATTATTTTTTTCAATTAGTAAGTAACTGGCAGTTGACAAAAGAATTAATTCAGACAAAGCATCTTTATCCTCTTACAGATATTGGACTTAGTTTATTGTGGTTCGCATAAAGGAGAAGTCATGGAGAAAAAAAAAATGTAAAAGCAATGATATATAAGGGAGGCAGTATATCATTTGCTTCTCTTGTTTTAAGTTACAAGCACAATTAACCCTTTGACGCAGCTGGGATACCGGTGTTCTTTTTGTGTATTTTTTTTCTGATTCTCTAATTACAAGTAAAAATATACTTTGATATTTTTTAAATATTAAGAACAGTGTATTAGCTAGTGAAAAAAATTTATTAGTTTGCTGGAATTATATTTGCACTAACATATTAAATACAAAAATAAATAAATAAAAATTATTTTTTCTTTCATATTCAAAAATTTATCAGTAATTGATTTTGTAAATTAATGAAATTTCTCAAAGAAGGAATTTTGTAAATTAAAGAAATCTCGTAAATCAAAATAATTGAAAATAAGAGCGAATTTCAAATATTATTATTTGGAAGTGAGCCCTGTTAGGAAGAATTTTCTTTTAACGCAGAAAAAGACACCGTTGTTTCAGGCTGTATTTTACAACCATAAATTCTTAAAATATATTAATTATTAAAATGCTAAATATAATATTTTTCACTTACTTTGACCTAAATTAATACAAAATAATGGAAAAAGTATGAAAAAAATACGTTTAATGTAAATTCTGCGTCAAAGGTTTAATAGAACAAAAGTGTACTTGGAATGTTATACTGTATTTATTAGGTAATGATTTACTTAATATACTTGAATATTAAAGTCTCTAATATCGCTCCGTAGAACGAAAGGTATTTTTATGCTATGCGTCAAAATCCACTTGTAATAATTACTCAATAAATGCTATATGGGTGTTCCCGTTCCACATAGCCTAAAAGGAAATTATTCCAGTTTCATTCGATATGATAAGCTAATTTTTGCTTATTTCAATTCCACCTTTGTTACGATTGACCTAGATAATAAATCGTAAAATTTATTTTTCATTTAAATATTAATTATTTTATATTTTTAACGCCTATATTGGCAAGGATTTGAAATATATATTCAGAGTGATAAGTGCAGTTACTAATATTGAAATTTTAATTAATAATATATTTTCCAGTTTCATTCGATGTGATAAGCTAATTTTTGTTTATTTCAATTCCACCTTTGTTTCGATTGACCTCGATAATAAATCGTGAAAATTATTTTTCATTTAAATATTAATTTTATGTTCTTTTTAAACGCCAACACTTTTGACAAGGATTTGAATTATATATTAAAAGTGATAAGTGCAGTTACTAATAATGAAATTTTAACTAATAATATATTTTCCAGTTTCATTCAATATGATAAGCTAATTTTTGTTTATTTCAATTCCACCTTCGCTGCGATTGACCTCGATAATAAACCGTAAAATTTATTTTTCATTTAAATATTAATTTTGTAATTTTTTTAAACACCTATATTTTTGACAAGGATTTGAAATATATATTACGAGTGATAAGTACAGTTACTAATAATGAAGTTTTAATTAATAATATATTTTCCAGGTATTTGGTTCAAAATTATAAATTTCATTAATGTATGTGGCGTCGTGAGTAATGCATTTTTGATCGCCTATTCTTCAGAAAAGAGCTGCGCAATACCAGTCATAACAAAACTGCTTGCTATTATCATTTTTGAAGTAAGTCAATTTCTATAAACAATAGTTATGTTCCTTAAAGGTCTTAGATAGATTTTTGAGCTTTAAATTCTGTTCATACTTATTAATTTCCGTTCTGAATTAATTAACCACCTTTATAAATGATGCTAACAAAAAATATCATGTTTATGAAGGATTCACAGTCAAAACTCACTAAGTTTACTAGAGCGAGAGGAAAACAAAACAATCTACAGTGCGGCTTTGAGGAGAACTCCTCCAGACTTAAAGTCTGTGCTGGTCTGCTGCTATGGTAACAAGCGAGAGCACATCTCTAATGGGGATGAAATGGAGGAAAGAAGGTGACAATTGGTTTACTCACACCGACCTATGTTAAGATTAAGACAAAACTATTCACTCCACACCCCTATTTGAAGTGACTTTTCCTCGTTACCATGGTAACCGCCACGACGCGAGACGGATGTCTGGAGGAGTTCTCCTGAAAACCGCACTATAAGATATTTGTTCTAAAATGCTCCCATTATAGTCCATTTTAATCTTCAAAAGTCTGCTGCTTTATTCAGAAAGAGGTGTCTAGGTATAGAAAAGTGTTCGTGCTTTTCAAAATGAGGCTGCTAAATACGTTACCTAGTGGCTAACTACGGAGTTAGAGTTTTGATCTTGAAACCAGTACGAGATATAAGGAAAAAAAGAAATTACGATTTATTAAATAAATGAAAACACATTACAAAATAGCGAGGTCGTGAAATCAATCCATTCGAAGACTCTCTATACAAAATGGTGATTGATGCACGCTAAATCTGTCGGAGTTACAAAGTCCTCGAAGTTCCCATAACGATTCAGTACCTCTGGATCGGAAATTGATCGAGCTCTGTTTCAGTTCAAAGTTACGATCTGCAGATGAATGGATGGTGAGTGAATGTGTCCTCCTTGTAAAACTTGATGTGACGCATGTATGTTATCTCCGGATTATTCTCAGGAATGTTTCCCAGAGCGTCGCCAATAGCCCATTGTGCAGCTCTAGTACGACGTAAATAAAAAGTTCTAAAACGAAGTGCCCACGTGAGACTTGACGAAACGATCTTAATGCAAAGACAAAATTGACAAGTTAGCAAAATGTACTTTCTTTTAAACTTTATACATTGATTTAGGGTGTTCAAAAAATTTATATTTTTATGGAAATCCTAGAGAAGAGGGTAAGCAAACTATCTGTTACTCATGAACTGCCGGGTTCAAGAATACAATTTGCATTTTCAAACTATCTGACATGTGTATAAAGAAAGAAAAACACCTTGGACCAATTTTACTTCCTTTAAAAATTATTTCTTTTCCGAAGTGTATGACAGAGACAAACAAATTATATCAATAAACGTAGGATATTATTCTAATAAACTTTCTAACGAATTCGAATACATACTTTCTACGCACAAAAAAAAAAGCTAAAATTGATCATCTATGGTACTGCACTCTCTCATATTAAAAGTCAAATAGAATGATAATTGCAACATTTCTGACTAATAATATAGACCATGCCTTGATGAATTCTCAGCGGAATTAAAAAATTTTACATTTTGATAGAGCGTTCGCCTCCTAATGAGGTAAGCCAGATTCGAATCCCAGTGGTGGCTGGTTGGTACGAATTTTGCTCTCGTCTCACACCGACCACAGTGCTATCGTAAAATATCCTCAGTGGTTGACGGATCCTGGGTTAGAATTTTTCGCTCGTCATCGGGCTATTGGTGGAGTGTTTTCCTCTCCATGTAAAGCAAATGTGTGTTTGTTCCAACAAAAAGTACTTCAAAGGCTAGTTTGTCCCAATGGTTGATCCAGGAGTTCCCTTGACTTCTGAATTGGGTTCAAACTTACAAGGATACGTTGTTGAACATTGATAGTCGTAAACTAAGAATTTAATGGGCTCATTACATGCTGGTTATAAAATAAAGAAAAAATTAAGTGTACTATTAAATTTTCAAACAATATATTTTTTTTATATAAGTTTTTAAGGAAACATAAATTTAAGTTATGCTCTATCATTTTTCAGCATTTTGTCTTCCTTTTCAAGTTCCTAATATCCACATTGATACCAAATGTCCCAGCCTGGGTTGTCAGCTCGCATAGAAAAGTAAGTCTTGTTGCAATATTAATGTTACAATCGTACAATATTACAATCTTGCTATAATTTATAATTATTATCTATGTATTTTGTAATTAAAAAAGATATTTATTTTAGAAATGTTACACATGAATTTTGCAAATGCAATTTTTATATTCTTCAGTTTTGAATTTATTAAATAATTATTAAATATATAATATATTCATAAAAAGAGCTTACAGTTTCATAAAAAGAAATACATCCTAAATAGCGAATAATTGGATTTTTAAAAAAAATTTTTTAATATTAACATTTTTAAGTGCACCATTAGGATCCCTTTTATCGAAATTTTTTTCTTTTGCTTATATGTAAAATTTAAATAAGGGAGGCCCAGAGACAAGATTATTCTGGCTGTGCTTTGAAACATGTATAATATTTAAAATCACTCATCTCCAAAGTAAAATTTGANTTTAAAACAAAATTTTAATATTAACATTTTTAAGGGCACCATTAGGATCCCTTTTATCGAAATTTTTTTCTTTTGCTTATATGTAAAATTTAAATAAGGGAGGCCCAGAGACAAGATTATTCTGGCTGTGCTTTGAAACATGTATAATATTTAAAATCACTCATCTCCAAAGTAAAATTTGAGAAAAAAATTTTTGCGCGCAATTTTAGTGCGAGTTAAAGTATAAAAGTACTACAAAAAATACATTTTTGATAACACATGTTTTGTGAAACGAATAACTTGCCTTGCTAGCCAGTTTTTCCCCCACATAAGGAGTCAATAAGTAATAGGTGCAATGTTACAATCTTTTTGAATGTTACTTAAGTTTATTTCAAATTAAGATATCTTTTTAAAGTGGACCTAATTTTTAGACGAAAAAGAGCAATTTTTTAATTTGAGTACAGAGAGATATTTTGAGATTTACAAAGCAATGTCAAAAGCTTACATGATTTTTCAAGTATATTTCAATGGTTAAAATTATTTTATTTTTAAGAAAATATATGATGTTTTATATAGTCAAAATCATAAAATCATATAATTAGATAAGCATATAGTCATATAATCAAAGCAACTTTTCGTATATAATCATTCGTCGTATAATCAAAGTAGCAAAACAGTTTCGTTACTTTTCTCACTAACCTAAATCTTTTCTTAGAATACAGCTGTAAAACCTTTTTGGATTAAAGATAATGTTAACCTTAGAATAGAAAAGAAAACTATGCATAAAATACGAGTAAAATATTTAAAAGTGACAGAGAATCGTTTCGGTATTATGACAAGCACCAAATTCATGCGTATCGAAGAGTAAGAGAAAAAGAAATACAGAAAACATACATTTCTGTATACTTACTATCGATACCGAAACGGCTGTCAGTCTTTTTTAACTATTTTGTTCGTGTTTATGCATTGTTTTCTGCTTCATTATATTGTAACAAAATATGATACACTTATTGTTAATTTCAGGAACGCTACTTGGTATCTTATTTAATGTCAAACCTTCACGAGTCAGATGACGATGATAATGACAACGATGGTGACAAATGTCCTGATAATCCAACAGAATTTACAGAAATATTGAAAAAAGATGATATTAAAATTGATGGTCTTTCTGAACAAGATAGGATATTTTGATGTACTGCAAGATTTGTACTAAAAGAGAGAAATGAATAAATATTTAATGTCAAATGGATTTGCAAGACGACATAAAAATTTAAGCAATTTCTTAAATTTAGTGTTTTACAACTGTATACAAGACGACATAAAAATTTAAACAATTTCTTAAATTTAGTGTTTTACAACTGTATACAAGACGACATAAAAATCTAAACAATTTCTTAAATTTAGTGTTTTACAACTGTATGCCAGACGACATAAAAATCTGAACAATTTCTTAAACTTTTTGTTTTGCAACTGTATTCTAAATACGTGCTTAAATTGTTTTCGCAAATTTTTTTTCATTTACCTAAAAGCTGACTATTATCAATTAATAAATATAAGTTTAAAATTAAATTTATTGCACATTTAATTCCTCGTGCTATTGGACAGATCACGAAGTTAAGGAAAATAGAATTAGCTTATCACGCTGCTTGGAATAAAATCTCTAGGCAAGTCAACTTCGAAAATTTAAATGACTTATTGTATCTAAATATTTTACAAATATGCTTAAAATAATTAATCTTCAATTAACAATGGCATTTTCTTTCACTAACTTAAAAGTTTTAGTATCAGTAAATAATTATAATTAAGACGGTTTTACGAAAGCTCTGTCATTACATGGAATAATGGTTTGGAGTGAACAATATGTTACTTTATAACTGTTGGAAGTTTGTAACAGTTATTCATAGCTGTTTTCCTATTTTTAGCCAGGGCCTATTAAGTTAGTTATAAAAATACGTTCAAAAAGTTAACACTGGAAAACACTACAATTTTGTGAAAATAAAAGGTACATTTATTACATAATTTTTTAATATTTATTGACAAGTAATAACGCTGAATTATTCAGACTCGTATGAGTTTGCGAAAATTGAGAATTCTTAATTAATTTAATAGCTCTCACCTTGGTGAAAAAACTTACCAAATTGGTGTTACTAAAAAAATATTTTTTTTTTTAAATATTCAAGCTATTTGCTGGAAGTTGATTTTGAAGTTGATACTTTGTGTTCTACTAGTTGAGAAATTGATTTTGAAATTTATGCGTTGCTCCTTAATCATACCGGTAGGATTTAAGAAGGCATACGAGGTACGATTAAGGCAACAAAACAACAAAGTGTTATTTCAAGCTTCAAACAGTAGTTAGCTAGCAAACAAACAAGTAGAACGTTACAGATTAAGTTTCTTTACGATTATACGTATTAAAAAATTTGTACATTACTGTAGTTCTGCTATGTCCTTCACAGGATGATCAAAAATTACATTGAAAATTTGCAAAACCGATTGACTTAAATAAAAAAAATTAACGCATTTACACAGTGACTTCATTCTTCTGGATGAATCTCCATGCAAAAGAGATTCATAATTTATCCTGTACAACTTTCTTTATCCTCTGCTTCATCAGAAATTAGGGGTGGTACGATTTAGAAGAAACGCGATTGAGGCAACTCTCCTTAATAAATGTTTCAAATCGAGTTGAAAGCGACAAATTAAATGCATTGAAAAATAGTGATAATCGCAAAATTTTATCCGTGTGAGATTTAAATAGAATTGATAGAAGTTTAAATTAATCTGACATTGTGGGGAGTAATTAAACTTTAATATAAGTTATAGTCAAACTTTTTTTTAAATATTTTTTTATTTAAGAAATTGTACAACATAGCAATTATGAAGCACCTATAACACCCAATTTGGCCTTACCTGACTCTTCAATTAATAAATATTCTAAAATTGAAGTACATCACTCATTTAAATTTCAAAATGATCCATTATATTCAAACTAAGAAACAGAACACTGAATAACTTTTGATCTAATAATCAAATTTTCACGAATTAATCTGCAACAATCTTAAATATAATAATTATATAGAGAATTTAAATTGCAAAATCAGACACAAATTTTTTGCTCTCCAAATATCTTCGTTCCAACAAAATCGAATTCTTAACCAGAAAAATTTGAGTGAGGACGCATTGTACAAAAATTGTATTTTTAATAAGTATTTATCATTCAATTTAGAGATGAACAAAAGCTGTTTGATTTTTATTGCTCAAAAACTTCACGAAATTTCGTTCAAAGTTTGTATTTTGCCTTTTAAAATCGCATTGCTTATAATTATTCTTAAAATTTAAACTATTTTCGATCATTATTTAATTAAATAATAATAAGCAATAATTAAAAAAAATTTTACCGGCAAACATTTTGTTTACTTATTTTGATTCGAGAAATATGGAAAAATACTTAAAAAGTAAAATTAGTATTAAGGGGCCCAAACTTTTGACGGCCTTCTGATTAAACCGTCGAAGCTATATTTTCCAGATAAAAACTCCCTCAAAAAAAAAAAAAAAAAAAAAAAAAAAAAAAAAAAAAAAAAAAAAAAAAAAAAAAAAAAAAAAAANAAAAAAGAAAAGGAAAGAAAAAAAAAATAACAGTTAAACAAAAAGATTTAAACTACCAGAAATAAATAACTAAATAAATAATTGAATAAATAAATAAGTAAATAAGTGAATAAAAAAGTAAGTAAATAAATAAAATAAATAATAAACAAATAATAATAATAATAATAAAAATTATTGGTTATTATAAAATCAAAATACAGGTCTTCAATTATATGCAGAGAATACGAGAGAAAATCAGAAAATATTCTTAAATAGTCGATGCTTTTTTATGGAAGAAATATTGAGAGCGATAATTTAAAATATTTGATTTATATAACCATACCGTAAAAAAGGGTTAAAACAAATTGTGATCGCCGCAAGGTGATCATAGGTTACCCATTGGCAAAATGGTTGTTGTCTAATTTTTTTTTTGAAAAAGCAGTATTATTGTCTTTTCATCTTGGACATCTTTAACTGTTAATCCTGAACTGTTCGGTACATAATTTCGCAGACATATTTAAATGCAGCTCAGACACATTCTGTGCAAATTCTTTTGATGATTGAGCAGATAGACATTGAACAATCAATCGAGATGAATATTTAACTTTTTCGGATTGGTACAATGGTTTGAAGAAGATTGTAAACTGCATCATACACCCAGAATTTAATGTTTCAGAGTTTAATAACGGTTAAACTTAAAATAATGAATAAAAAAAACCTGTACCTCGCTTTGCATCTTGCAGTAATAAAATTAAAGAATTGAAATTCGACATATGCTATTTATAAACCTAATACAAATCGATATTTTTTTGAAATTGCTTTAAAAGGCTCAGATGAAGGATCGAACTTTTTTTTCAAAGAGTTGTTTTCAGGAATTTTCTTTAAAAAATACTACTGAAAATAAGGACTATTTATCCATTGTTTTAGAAACTTTTATTTATCTCTCTGGAGGCTTTTACTTTATTTGAGTTGGTCGAAAGGAACAATGAATAAGTGAATAACATTTCCAATCATTATTATCGTTAGCGAGAAAAATTATTTCTCTCTTATTTCTTCTTATTCTGTAACGCATTCCGTTTTCCCAAGTTATTTCTTTCAAGTGCAATGATTTATTCTCCAAATTTCAGGTAATTATTCATTTCCTTACTATTTACCATATTATCAATGTATGTTTACATTAAACTATAGTAGTAGTAGTACTTTATATACGCTTACGTTGTACTAGAGCTGCACAATGTGCTATTGGTGACTGACTAGGATGAACTGAAGACATGTCATTGCAATTTTGATCCTCTCTAGAAGGGATGGCTCAGCCCCTTCATTCATAACCCAAAGTCCTGCGCGTGACACTTAAAAATATAATAAGTACATATTTTATTAAAACTATATATTTTCGCGCGCAGGTCGTCGGACTACCGAAGCGGGCGTGCCATCCCCTCTGCAGAGGATCAAAATTGTGATGGTATGTTTTCGGATCATCCTCAGGGATGTTTCCCAGACCGTCGTCAATAGCCCATTGTGTAGCTCTAGTGCGACGTAAATGAACAACGACAACAAACTGTATATTTGATTTTTTTGAGAATATCGACTTAAAACAAAGATAAAGGAGAAGAAACTCACGGGGTACAGAGAATAGAGCGAGCAGGGGGGGGGGCGGCAACTTTAATTCTCGGGCAAGGCTGCTTGTCTCGGGTAAATCTGAACTGCATCTATGGCGCATTTGAGTCACCACTTGTAACAGTAAAAAAATGCCTTTAAATATTTTTCATTCTGTTATGTTTTCTAATTTCAACTGAACTGACGAGACGATTTCGAAACTGTAATAATGTAATGAGAAATAGAATAAGTTTTGCTAGTTTTCAGGAGTATTAAAGCTTATAATTTAATACATATTATTTAAATAAGCATATTTTTTTAAAATTATTAATGTGCAATCATGACAAGTGTTTCTGATTAGTTTTTAAAGCAAGAAAGCTCATATTCAAATGACGTCATGGGAAACCGCGGCTGTGGGGGAGTAGATGGACAGCTTTTTTCTTATTTATGTTTATATTGTGTCGAAGTAGTGCACTGGGTAGTGTATGTTTCTTTGTTCCATATGTCATTATTTTTTAATTTTTTCACACAGTGTGAATTTGAAAATGTGGAGGTAGCATTAATCTGATTAATACTGTCAAATAGTATTTTATTTAGCTATGAATGGATTATCATTTAGTGATCTGTGCTGTTTGTTTTGTTGTCCGCCTTTCCCCGCTCGGATAGCTGCTAAGCTCGCCTTTGCACCTCCTGAACCAACCTATTCTTATGTGGCCGATGAATCGGGAACTAAATTTACCCTCAGCCTAAATGAACGCGCAGAATGGCAATTTTCTCAAAGGGAATTGGATAGTTTCGAAGTTTTTTTCACAAGGACTCCTCGCGGTAATCGAATTGCCTGTATGTTCGTTCGGTGTACACCTAATGCCCGATTTACTATTCTTTTCAGTCACGGTAATGCTGTTGATTTAGGTCCTATGAGTAGTTTTTATCTTGGGCTAGGGACCAGGCTCAATTGTAATATATTTAGCTACGATTATTCTGGTTATGGACAGAGTACGGGAAAACCATCGGAAAAAAACTTGTACGCTGATGTGTTTGCTGCATGGCATGCCCTGAGAACACGATATGGCATAAGTCCAGAAAATATTATATTGTACGGACAGAGCATCGGTACTGTACCAACTGTGGATTTAGCATCGAGATACGAAGTCGGAGCTGTAGTGCTGCACTCTCCTCTTATGTCCGGTATGCGTGTGGCCTTTCCTAACACTAAGAGAACTTGGTTTTTCGATGCATTTCCTAGGTAAGTAAATACTATTTATGTTCTTCAAGTTTGCATTTGTTACATAATAACTCTTTACAATTAAAAAATGAAAATATGAATATGTGTTTGCCAGGGTTGGGTTTTTGCCGTCAAAAACTGGTTTTTGACATGACAGTGGTAAAAACCGTCAAAAACCTACTGTTTTCTTTAATTTATGGCATATAGCGGACAATATATTATTTTCACTTAATTGCCTTTATAAATGAATGTTGTAAATGATTGCTATTGATTTTGCAACTATATACATGTATTCTTATAGAAGGATATACATTCATACAGAAATATTGTAATATACTTATTGCAAATAGTGATACTTAACTTTTATCATTATAGCTTGATTTGCAAAGGATTCATAATTTTGCACTTCTTAATTGTTATAAATGAACAAACAAACAAAAAAATTTGGAACTATTAATGAATTCAAGAACTAAAAAGAAGAATTTAAAATTTGGCATTTCTTAAATATTAGAAATAAGCTAAGCAAAACTTTCAAAACTTGTAACTACTAACAAACTCTAAGTCAGGAATGACTTGACATTCTTCAGTAATGTAATATGCCAAACAAAATGATGCTTGGAAATGTTTAAAATTTTGTTTAGTATCCTAATATTTTACTTCCAATAGTATGATTTGATATATTCGTGTTGGGAAAATGCAAAAATATGTTCTTAAATATTTTTCAACAACTTTTTTTCTAATTTTATTGCCCAAAAATGAATTAATTTTAAATAGCAGTTAAACTCAAATTAAAATACAGTTTTATCAAAACTATGGTTTTTTGACAGAGGGTTTTTTGACATGATGGTAAAAACCATGGTATAAACCGGTAAAAACAGTCATGTGTCAAAAACTTGCCAACCCTGGTGTTTGCAGAACAGTACTTCATCAGGGGACAAACTGTCTGTAAACACACAGGAGCCTTTCTGTTAGTGGATTTGACCAAAACTAACAGTTTTGGTTAAATCCACTAACAGAAAGGCTTAAAAACTAACAGAACTGTTAGTTTTGGTTAAATCCACTTACAACAGAAAGGCTCCTCTGTGTTTGCAGGCAGTGTGTCTCCTGATGAAGTACTGTTCTGCAAACACACATTTATTTTTTAATTGTAAAGATTTTATATATGTCTTATTTTATTTGATATAAAACAAAATTTGGTTTCAACTGCCTTGTGTGCTTTTCCAATTTGATTTAATGTTTCAATGTGTTTATTTACCTCTTATGTATCAAAATTGACTTCGTAAATTGAATTGATTTTATGTTTAGATAATAACTCTTGTTAATTCTCACTGACTAAATCAGGGCACTGATGATCTAAAAAGTCCCTTGAAAACTCTTGGAAAGTTTTTAATTTCTAAAAAACATTAGGAAAATCTGTATTGTTGTTTGTAAAGCTTACAATTAATATTTAATTTAATTTTAAATAGTAGAATTTTATTGTCAGGAATAATGTAACACTCTCGTGCAATTATTTCATTAAAATCCTTTCTAACTACGAAAGACAGTTTTCCTAAGATGATAGTTCTGTATCCAGATCTTTTGCCCCAACTGCAATTGCCAGGCGCTCATTGAATTTTAAACTAAAAAATGAAAAAAAAAATTATAGGTTTTCTCGGGGGTGGCTACGGGTTATACCCTTTGAGTTGGTCCTCCTGTTTTTTTTCTTTTTCCTTTTAGTTTCTCACAGGCCACTACCCAGAAGTTGCCAAAACTGCTGCAGATTACTATATGGAAATCTTCCCTTTCCTAATTTAGTGTATATTAAAAAATGAATGATTTGAGAAGTTCGTACACAACTTTTTCTACATTTTGTGGGATAGAATATTTCTGTATTGGTGTTTTTAAATGTATAATGAAAATATATAATACGACATACATCTGAAGCAGAAATTGTGGCTTAAGTTGCTAAACGAATAAAGTCTCTATAGAACATTTTATAGTGAACGAAGAAATATTTTTCATGTCTTTGCTGAACAAATTATATCCAAGTTGCAGTGAATTTTTTTATATGCATACATAATAAATTTTGTTTCATTCTTTAGACATTTATAAAATTTATATTTAAGTATTATAGTTTCCTTTGTAATTTTAGTTTGTAGGTAAAATAAAAATATCTGCCATTTATGAAAAAATTTGGTAAAATCCTAGAACCTTTTGGCGACTTTTTTGAAATCTCGCCAAGTTGACATTGCTTTTTGATTATTAAAAAAACAAAACAATTTAAATTAAATTTTAAACCAGTATGGCACCAAAAAAATACAACATTAATGGTAATAAATGAAATAACGGTTAAAAAATGAGAAAATAGCCAATGATTCTAACAGTTAGAGATCTTAAATGGCGAAAAAATTATCCTTTTACCCCTTCTCTAATGAAATCCAACTTTCTCATAGGTATACATATCAAATATCCAATCAGGTTTACGAATTTTAGTGGGATTGGACGTTCAAAATAATCTCCCTGATATATCTTCCGGAAATCTAGTTTGGCGAAATTAAAAAAAATTGCCTCAAGATGGGCTATTCCAGGATCCACCCAAACTAGCGGGAACTTTTTTGACTTAAGCTGTTGAACATTAGCAATAATTAGGGCTGTAGGTTTGTCGCGGCGCGAATTTCCATGAAATTGTCATCTTTTTTCCTAAAATCCGCGAATTTCTCTATGTCTTGACTTGTGCAAAAATTGTTTAAAATTTGATTTTTTTTTTCATTTTTTATTTATTATTTTTATTAAACAGAATTTTTTATTTTCCTGAACCTTAAATTGAACATGTAAAATTGATTAGATATTTAGGGGAGTGAATCAATAGCAAAATGACATGAAAATAGTTCAGAGATAAGAGATAATCATAATCTTGTCAACAAGGTGGTCTTTCTACACTTAGGGAGGGTAATTACCTTCCTGAAGTCAGTAAGAGTACAAAAGAAATTGGAATCACAAAAGAAGGAAAATGTTATAAATCAAATCTTTGACAGAAAAATTGTTATACATGCTATTGCTCTGGGCAATGAAATTTCTACTGCCTTTCTACATATCCAGTTAATTTTTCCTAGGCGGCTTCTTGTGATTTCTTAAATATGGATCAGCTTCTTGGATGAACTAGTAGTTAGTAGGGACTTGTAACTAGTAGTTTGAATGTAGAATGTTTGAGTTTTCACAGCAGTTACTTCTTACAAAGCAACGGTCAAGGAATTGCGCGTTGGTGAAGGAAAATTGATCGAGTTTTGGAAATCAAAGACCGAACGCTCCAAAATTGGCAAAAGTGGAAATTCTGAAGTTTGTCGGTGCCTAAAAACAGCATTGGCGCAGAAAGATCGTTTTCTAAGTATTAAAATGTATTAAGTGATGAAAGACGAAGGATAAATGAGAATAATCTGACAATGTACAATACTTTGTACCAAAACTCTGTTCATTTAAATAAAAATATTAATATTGCTTGAAATTCAACAAAATACTTTTGTTGTGTATTTTTAAGCTTTCTTTATTATTTGTGCAATTTCTGTCTTTTGCATCATTTATATAATCTTTTTATGTTTAGAATTTGTGTAATTTTCAAAATTTCCCGCGAATTTGGGGTCTTTTTTCCCGAGACAAACTTGCAGCCCTAGCAATAATCAAAAGTCTTATGCTGCTATCATAAATCTTCTCTAAGAAGAAACATTTTTAAATGCATATAAAATTAAAATAGTCTATTACCTCACTTTAGTAGCTTAGCTATTCATTAATTTAGCATGATACTGCCCAGTTGTAGCCAAAACTTGGTGATTGTTTTGGAGTAGGTACTACTAGGGAATTCTTTCTTTACTTTTTTAGTAAAAGTATAGGTAAAAGTATTATATTGTACAAGTTTGTGTATGTGAAGTTTAGTTTAAAAATTGTATGCAAATTACTGTTTTTTTTTATAACTTTGCAGGTGTTTAACTAATTAGTTAACTAATATTTTACTAAGTAGTTAATTTAAGAAAATTTTTGATAAAATGTGAATCTGGAAATTTTAGCACAATTTTAAAAAAAATCACAAACTTTATCAAAAAATCGCCAAGACACTCTTTTTAGTGCTCTTTTAGGGGTTAATTTAGTATGGATTTTATTAATAAGGGTGAGGGTTTTGAAGTGTGTTAATATTAATATATTTTTGCTTTATTTTGGAAACCTAACAACTATAAACAAATTTTAGCAGTGTAACATAATTTCTTGGTTTTTGTAATATTTAAAAAAAAAATGTTTAAATTTGACTCAGTTCTTAAAAAAATGTATCAAAATAAATTATTTTATTCATAATGTTAATGCGCACAGAATTTAAATTTCTGTACTGGAAAAAAATAATAAAGTGAGCCTTAAATCTAAAAGACCTAAATTTGAAAAAATAAATATATTGTTTCATCCCTTTTATCAGTTTAAAACAAATTTTCTTTCAGTTAAAATTCTTAGGAATTATTATAAAGCAGAACTTATGTGTTATTTAATATAAAAGTGCTTACCAAAATTTAACTTTTATGTATGTTTTTAACATACTGTTAAACAAAATAAATGTATCTTTTGCTATTCTAAGTTCAAAATAAAAATATAATATATTTTATACCCAAGCAGAGTAAATATCATCATGATATCAACCAGTTCAAATTATTTTTGTGACCTTAACAGTTTGTTGACCTACAATTTTGCACAAAGACTACAGATGAGTTAACCCATGAACAATGCATTATTTCAGTCAAAATTAGCAGGTATGCTTTAATGTTTAAAAATTATGTGCAAAATATTCATATTAATACAATTTACATAAACATTTTTAAAAGCAGAATAATTTCACTATAATCTCCATTCAACCTGTAACCAAATTATTAATATATATTTAATTGTAATATGCATATTTTAATATATATATTTAAGGGCACAAATTTTTTTTGTGGAGATTTTCCTACCAGTTTTGCCAACTAGAATTGCAAGGGTGTCAAAAGGCCTAACTTGCCAAAAAAAATTTATTTTAAAAATATATAGTTAGGGGCTCGCCTGAAGTGACTATATGTTTTCAAATTGCTGCTTTTTTTTATTTATTATTTATTTAGCTTTATGCATCCCACTACCCAGAAGTTGCCAAAATTCTGGGATTATTTTGGCTCTTATACCAAATATGGGAGTCTTTCCTTTTATTTTATCAGAAAATCTCTATCTCACATAGCAAAGGAAATTATCTAGACTCACAACCTGTTAGAATACTTAAGTTACAGAAAACTCTTTTTGTTGTTGTTGACGACGTATGCCTGTTTAGGCAGAGAGGTGCGATTGTTCTTGTTTTCCAGTGGCGCCATCTATGGTCAAGAATTTGACTTCTGCCACACACATTTGTTTTAGACTCACAACCTGTTAGAATGTTTAAGTTACAGAAAACTCCTGTTGTTGTTGACGTATGCCTGTTTAGGCAGAGGAGTGCAATTGTTCTTGTTTTCCAGTGGCGCCATCTATGGTCAAGAATTTGATTTCTGCCACACACATTCGTCGCACCCGTTTATAGGGCAAATCCATTCATACATCCATTCCTTCTTTCATCCACAGATCGTAATTTTGACTTGAATCAGAGAACAATAGATCTCCAATCCAGTACCCCCAGAGGTTTTGATTTGTTATGGGAGCATGGAGGACTTTGCGACTCGACAGATTTAATGTCATCAGTCACCATTTACTACACGGGAAATCTTCGGTCGACGGGGTTCGAACTCTCGGACATGGGCCCAGAGCCCTACCAACCAGCCTAACCTGACCTAGAAAACTCTTTTGAATTGTAAAATTACGTAAATTTAAACTCAAATAACAATAATAAAACGTCCTAGAATATTAAGCCTGTTCGCACATTGCCTCACAAAGATAACATAAGCAGAGAGATACGCCGGAAGTTTACTACCGAAAAAGGGGTTACTCAAAGGCATGTATCGTATAGAAATTTGCTCGTTGTTATAAATAATATCCTTTTAAAAAAAATATTATTTTAAGAACTTTCTTGAAATCAATAGCAAGAACTGCTGAAAAATCTATCGAAAAAAAACTATGTGATCATTGCGTCAAAAAGTAAATACTTTTATGCGTTATTCGAATTTCTCAGATTATATTTAAATATATTGAGAATATATAGAAAATAAGTATGTGAAATTTATCAGAATTTGTAAAAACCATACATAAAATAAGAACAATAACTGTCAAAAACAATAGAAACACCACATGAGTTTATGATGTTAGCGGCATAAATTGAGCGTGTCAAAAAGTGTTTAGGTATTTAAATCCATGATATGGATTTCATGTGTCGAAATAATATCAAATGAGAAAAACTACATAAAATTCGGTAGCAATAACTGCCAAAAAGGTGGAATCACCACACTGGAGGTAAATTAATCAAATATGGGTGTGGTAATAATGTCTGTATTTTTTAAAAAAATATCATGAGAAAATCATCAATAGTAATGATGGAGCAATCGAAGACATTGGAATGTTAAAAAAACCAAATGAAAATTCGAAGCAATAATTGCCAAAAAAATTTATCAAAACAACTGCATAAATTTAGGATAGAATCGACAGGAGCAAGTAAAGACTCAAATGCTTGATTTAAAATTTTTGTGTACTTGTGTACAATGTTGCAATGTTACAATGTTGTGTACAATTTTTGTGTACAATGTTATATTAAAAATATTGAATAGATTTTATTTCAACCAAATAATAAAGAAAGGACATATCGCAATAATTTTTTAATTCTTTTACCAAAAATCTGAATTTGTAACAAAATCTCCACTCTGACATATTTTATTTAAGTAAAATAAAATGTTTTAATGAAATCATTTTGGAAACACATTAAATTTTTTTTAATTTTTGCGATTTTGGAATTACTTTTTGTAATATCAATTTGAAATTCTAGATAAAACCTGTTATAGATTTTTTTATTCTCAAGAGAAAATAAAAAAAATCGTGTGTTCTGTTTTGCCCTCTGACATGCGAGAAAAGCATCTTTTGAAATTAATTCTGCTGATAAGAAAACCTAACTTTTTTGCCTCCCAAATGAAAAATCGTTCTGCAAGAACTCTGTAATGTCCTGGGACAATGTCGCCTCCACTCTACCACTGAGACTGTTTGAATGCTCTAGCTATAAACAAATTTATCTTCAAAAATAAAAATAGTTTTACTGGGTTGAAGCATGTTTATAACTTGAAAAATAGATATGTTCCCATAACAATTATATCTTTTTACTTGTAATGTCTTATTTTTATTTAAATTAAATTTTCTTTATTAGGTGAGACTGGTTTTAAATATCTGATTTGACAAATTATCAATCCCAAATTTATATAACTGTAATATTTCTTTCTTAGGTAATATTATTTTTTTATTTTGTAGAAATTTTTTATGTTTGAAAATTTTGGATTATCTTTTAGATTAATGCATTTTGAAAAGAAGAAATATTTTCTATCTTGTAGAAAAATAAAATATTTCTATTTTGAAGGATTCATAGGTAAAATAAAGTACCATTTTAATTATATTTAAATTGTGTTTTACAAACGTTTTTTTTTTTTTGTATCCTCTTGGTTTTAGAAAATTAAAAATGGAAAAAAATCTTAGAAATTTAGCATTAGTTTCTAATTAGAAGCATAAAGTAATAATTATAGTCAATGGCTGATAGTTGACTATTGTAGTTCTTTTACAAAATAACATTTTATTAAATTTTTTATTCTTATCAAGGGTTTGTAATTAATATCTTAAAATGATTCCATATATGATATATTTTAAAATTTTTTACCTTTATTTTGCAGTATAGACAAAGTACCTAAAGTAACTTCACCTGTCTTAGTGATTCATGGCACAGAAGATGAAGTGATAGATTTCTCACATGGGTTAGCTATCTATGAAAACTGTCCTCGAGCTGTGGAACCACTTTGGGTTGAAGGAGCCGGTCACAATGATGTAGAGCTATATGGTCAATACATTGAGCGACTAACACAGTTTGTATCTATGGAATTGGTCAATTGACCAATCCATATTACAGATCTATAGTTAAAGAGATAATTTGTGATTTTTTTTTAAAAAATTATTAAAGGATGCCAAGTGCTAAATGTTCTTTTGTATCAATGTAGTATTTTGATTTATGTGTTGAACTATGGTTTTGATGTCTGGTAAATTATTTTCATGGAAAGAAATTGGATGTGTTTTATATATGAGTCTTCTGATCCTAAATTTTGTTTTTCTGTCATTTTGGTGGAAAATAAAATCAATGGTCTTTAAATAATGAAACTTTCTTGTTTTTTTGTTAGAAACAATCTGTCATGCCATTTCATTCAAGTTTATAAATAATTTTTCATCTAAGTGTGCCTAAATGTCAGCTGATTGATTTATCGAACTAACTGATTTGTTAAAATCTAAATATTTCTATTCTAACTATTTTGGGAAAAGTTAAGTATATGTAAATAATTAAAAAAATTTCTATTGTTTTATTTTTCGAAATTAACAACACAAAAAAAGACTTAAAATTTATATGCATTATTCCTTTGTGAAAAATGTGGGGGAGAACTAAAACTTTTATTAAAAGAACACATTTTTAAACTGAAATCCTTGATTCCAAACTTATCTTTTGGAAGCTTAGTTTTTTTCCCCTTTTTTTTCTAAATGTTAGCTGCTAGTGAAATCTTCCTCTAAATTTTCTCGCAACATATTTATATTTTTTTCTCTCTATCTAGGTCTTTATTTGTGTTTTTAGTTATTATATAATGAAGACTATTGTTTTTATTTTCTTTATAGAACTTTTAATTTGAATTAGATTTTTCATGTAATGCTGTTAGTCTTTTTGTCACAATTGTTTCCTTTGGGAACAACAAGAAATGAACTGTGATTTATCATACTTCATCGATTCTCCTGTAATTTTACATTTATTCCTGAAGTTTAAATTTGTTTTGTATTTGACATAGATAAGAGATCATCTCATTAGGTTGTATAAATAATTCCATATAAATCTCTTTAATAGGTTTACCATTATTCTGAAATTTTTAAGCTGATTTTTAATTTCATCCAGAAGTGTGATATTAGTTTTCATTCCAATATAATCAAATTAAAAAATCAATTGTTATTGATCAAACATCTCTAAACTGCTAGTGAAATAAATTTTTATATTGCGTTAAAATTTTCGAAAATTAATGTATCCTTTTTAAAAATATTTGTTTTTTAACCACATATTTATAAAAGAATATCTGTTGGTTACTTCAAAATCTCCGTCATTGAATTGTAAAATAGCCTATTGACTAAGTGTTCAATTTTTTTATAAGTAGAAAAGCAATATCTTATGAACTTAATGCTCTTGCAACTTCAAATCCATGCCATTTTTAACATGTACTGTAATTTTACAAAGTTAATTTTTGGTGTCTTTGTAAATGATGTCGAAATATTTCCCCAATAACATACTAGTTCTTATGATTAAATTTAAATGCTCTTATTATGATTTTTTTTCCTTAGTGAAAAAAAAGGGAACAAAGTAATCAGTTTAATATGCACATTTAATTTGATTTTTTACATAAGTGATTTGAGTTCATTATTATTAATTAACAAGTTCTAAATTATATTAACTTATAGCCTGCTCATTTTATTATTATTATTTTAAAAGCTTACATTGAGCCTAATGGAGTGTAAAATCAGCGATAAAAAGCATAAATCCACTCGCCTGATGTTGGTTGTCTTGTTGAAAAGTCATAATCAACTTATAATTTATTAGAAATTGATTATCTTGTTGTAATATTTTTGAAACATGCTGTAATAATTTTCATAGCATTTTATATGTAGCAGAAATGAAGGGGTGAAAACTGATTAGTGTTCTATTTGTTTTTTTTCTTTCGGTTTTAGACCACCACCACACTCACAAATTACTAGCATTGTAAAACTAAGTACTTTTCATAGTGTGGAAGACTACATGTATTTAAAGAAGGTCTCTCCCTATTAAGATAAATTGAAGAAAATTTAATCATCATTGCTTTAAATATAGCTTAGTTAAAAACAATATAAAGATTTAAAAAAAAAATTTGTCACCTAACATTCTGCAGAACTGTATGGTTTTGGATATTGCTGGAGGCTCTTTTAAAAATAGTTTTGCAAAGTTGTTCTCCAAATTGTTGGTACTTCTCTGAAATTAAAGTAATAGTGATAAGATTTTTGCATTCTTTCAATGGTTGCTGTGTTTAACATCTTTAAAATAGTCTTTTTACTTACAACTTTGCTTAATATTAATATCTATCAATAATATTAATATTGTTTAATGTTATTCAAGTACCTTCAATGTGCATTCGGTGTTTATCAAGAGACAATTATGAAGGAAAGAGAGAGAAAAAAAATTAAAATTTGAAATTAATCATAAAATTTAATTATTTTTCTTTTTCCTTCTTAATTGTCTCTTGATAAACACATAATGCACATTGAAGGTCCTTGATTTAAATGTATTGTGCTAATTTTCAGTCTATACTTTAACCCTTTCAAGCTGACTGCCACATATATGTGCTGTTTAAAATGCTCTTGTACTTCCTGGCTGACACACCAGTGTGCCAGGGGGCTTTTTTGTTTGTTATTTGAGATAGAGTTCTGGAGCGTTTCAAAAATTATAATTTTAGGAACTAGAGGACATTGCATCTTCATAGAATTTGAAATACAAGTAGATTTGATCAATTCAAAATTAGAAAAATATTACTCACATACACATGGTTTTTGATAACATATACATGAGGGGAAAGGAATGTTTCTGAATCTCATGCTTTTTGACGGCTCTTTAAAATAATCATGTGGTACAACTCTGATTCAAGTTAGAATAATTGAAAAATATAACATTAAAAAGTCTCTTACTTTATTTTTTTCCCATTCTTTTATTAAACCACAAATATAACTAATCAAATCTGCATATGTCGCAATGTAGTGTTTGTAGTTGCTAACACCTTAATTAGTTTAAAATTTTTCCTCGTCTAGCTGTTTGCACATGCAGAAGTACTTTGATTTCAATTTTAACTATTTTCAAGTGATGTCTGTGATATTTCCCAAGTTGTTTAGTGTTTGAAATTTTGTAATTTAAAATCTGTCCAGCAGTTATTAAATCACACAAACTCCCTTAAGTTCGAGACATTTCAGCATAGAAGGGATGATTTGGTTGCTGTTTTCACCAAGAAAATTTTAAAACTCTATTGAAATAGACATATTTTTAGAATTCAAACACAAATTTTTTTTTTTATTTTTAAAATTGTAATGCTAGAAGGGGGCTGAAGCCTTCCCTGTTCGTTGGTCCCTGATACTATTCCAAAAGAATATCCCGATTCTTCTGAAAAATTTTGTTATAATAGTTTCAAAGTCAATAATGTTAAATATCATTTAAATGGTAAATAAATACTGTAAAATTTATTTAAAGATTTAATATAGAAAGAAAAAACTTAAGTAAATAAAGTATGTGAATAAAAAATATGTAATTTATCTACTTTACAGTAGTCTTTCTTATCATTGAAGAATGCGTACATATTTTAGTAACTTCATGGATTTAAGGCTTAACAGCAAAAACCCTCTGGCCCTGCACAGTTGCTCATAAAAGAAACTGCGGCCCTCAGCAATAGGAGTGTGTTTGCAACTACTGTCACGAAAGGGTTAAAGCATATTTATAAAACAAAACTGAAAAACTAATTCTAAACTGTGTTAAGTTTTAGTTGTTGAATCTAATAGAAGTTTCCTTTTGTGACCTATCATTTTAAAACTCTAAACTGTGTAGAATTATTAATTTCTTGATATAGAAATGATCTTTGATTGCACTGTAAACAAGAACTTGCAACGGAATGTTGACAGAGATGACAACTGCTCTGGACACGCCAAAATAATTTAAAAAAAGCGGTGAATAACTACAAACTTAATTTTGCAAATATTTGACTATTTTTGCTTGCTTTTTAAAAGGTATAGCATGACATAACTGCTATAAAGTGATGAATTATATAAGCCTACGAATTATTTAGAAATAGTGGTGGATGGATTAATTTAGTATCTATTAATTAAATTTAGTATCTATTAAATTTAATTTATTAAACCAAGAATCACAATTGATAAACTACCACTTTAAAATATTTATTTGCTGTCCATAGCAAGTTGGCATCTCTGTGTTGAAGACGTCTGAAGCACGTCAATTATTGTTTTGACGTAAGAAACAAATGACGTCTTCGTATGTCAAGGGGTTAATCTTGTTATGTATTATTTCTTCTCTAGAAGAGAATAGAAACCAAATTTATTTTTTGATTTTGGCAAAAAGTTAGCAATTTTAAAGCATCTTATTAAATTTGAATGAGTGTTATATTTGATTTCTCAATATTAGATGGTTTTGGAAACTAATGATCTCTTGTGGTCCATAATGCATATTTAGTAAATAATGTCGACGCGCCATTTGCAACTGTTTTTATATTAAAATTTTTAATAGTAATATTTCCTCATGGTGTATTTTTTGGAAAAATTTGTTATGTAATCTCAGTAAATATATCATACTATTGGAATAATTTAGTTCTACACAATTTTATCTCATTCTCAACTTGTAACTATGAATGCCATTGAAAATTAAGTTTGTCATATATGTATTATAATTTTATATTTTCATGAATTAATATATTATTATGAATATTTTTATGAATAATAATATGTTTTTATGAATTATAAATTTATCATAATTGTTTCTCATTATAAATGTCTTACTATGCATCATAATCGAATTTCATTACCTAAATAGAGTTACGGTAGAACTCTAATTACTCAGATTAATTCCTACTAGACCTGTTCTACATAATTGACTGAAATGATTGTTATTTTGTATATTTTAATGACTAAACATAAGCATTGAATTTTTACATTCTTAGGTCTGTTAAAAAATCTGTTCTGTCTGTTAAAAAAAAACTAATGCAAATTTTCTCAAGTAACATGTCAGTTAATCATTATTTAAAAGTTTTCTTTAAAATTTCACTCTCCTCTTATTAAATGAATTAAATAACAGATGTAAGCCACTGTAAATTTTGTTTTACAGTACATTTTAAGAATTAAATTTTAAAGTGAAAAATATTTTATCTTTTTCCTTGCACAAATATCTTTGTAGCTTTTTACAGCAACACAAAGGCTTAAACATTGTAGTTAGGCATTTATAAAATCAGCACACTCTTCCAAGACTTAATAAGCACTTGCTGTTAACACTTAGTATTATAATAGACAGTTGATCGATTAAAAATTTTCTTTTTGAGATTAATGTAATTATATTTATATCACCAAGAAGCCATAGCAGCTAAGTCTGTTTTTGATCCGTGCAACTATTTTAATCAGCTTAGTAACTAAGTGGGTCTGCTTTCTTGTTTACTTCCTGCCAGGTATAATTATATTTATTAATTATAATAATAAATTACAATTAAGTATGATAATGATAGGTGTGATAAAAAGATTTTAACCATCATTTGCTTGTTATTGGGCCTAATAAGTATAAGTGCCATGCTGATTGAATGGAGACATTGGTTCGTTAAGGGTCAATAATGACTTTGTTATTAACTGGTATTTACTCATTGATAAAAGATTATTTCCTGAAGCAAGGTGTAAGGCAGAAAATTTTTTATTCGAATATTCTTACTTTATTGTTATATACTTTGCTTCTTGTTTGATGGGTTTTAGTTCTGAATGGCTGATAGGTTGAATGAAAAGTATTCCGAAATCTGCTAAACATCTATTGTGTTAAAATATGTTTAATTTATTACTGCCAAAGTCATAATTTCCTATTAATATTGTGAAATTAACAAACGAATTTAAGGAAAAAAAAGAGTAATTCTAAGATTTTGGTATGTAATGGAATTATGAAAATGTAAATTAAGATGTAATTCAAAAAAAGATTCTTGTAATTAAATGGCTTGGAGCAATGTAGTGATAGGCCACACTTTTCTCCAAAACTTCAAATCGTTCCTTAGTATTGCTTCCAAATAGGTACTTTAAAAAATTAAATTCCTTTAACATAGCAGCACAATACATAAATATTTTGTTGTTTTTATGGAAATTGTGTTTTCAACCAAGAAGGACCTCATTAATTTAAAATTGTGGCTTATCATTATTTCTTCATGCCTCTTTCGTACATTTTCTAAAGTATTTTGCTAAATATAAATTTACTAATTGATGTTAACTGAACAAACTTAAGTTTTATTCTCCAGTAACCAGGTTTCATGTAATCTGCTTGTTACAAGAAAAGAAAACTTTTTAAGGCAATTAAAAGAATAAAAACTGTTAAATTAAACTGTTCTCTTCTCCTGTAACTGAAGCTGGATGTTCTATAAATATATTGTATATGCGTTTAAGTAATGTTTTACATATACTTCCATTTATAAAACTTAAAAGAAAGAATCATTTAAAAATAACAGAAAATTATTCAATAGAGATTGATGCATTTTTAAAACTGATCTTTAAAAAGAATGAAATTATTTAAGAAAAGAAATGGATACTGATGAATTCAACTTTCTGGGTTTCATTTTAACTTATTTTCTCAGTGAGTTATTTATTTTTTAAATATAGATATCTAGGGGATTGTTTTAAAATGCCATTTTCAAGTGAATTAGTTTTCAAGAAATAGGCAACGGAATAGAAATGACCATGTTCAGTATCAAAATTTACTCAAATAATTTAGTTGCTTTCAGGATTCCTATCAATTGATTTTTTTTACTAGTCTATTTGAAACAAATATATTTATACAGTTTTATTTTATTTATTCATTCAAAGTTTTGGTGTTAGTTTATATTTCTTTAGAAATTTAAATAAATTTTTTATAAACTGCCATTTTGAAAGCTAAATGACAGTATTTATGTAAATTTGTGACACATTGTACATTTTTAATAAAATTTTTGATAATATTTGCATTGAAGTCTTGTATTTATTATTTTCTATTCCCAAAGTATGTATACATCTTTAAAATTCTCTGTTGCTCTTATTGCTGTGTAATATTTATTAATAAGAGGTGAAAAAATTCTTCTTTACTTTTCTAAAAATTTAACTCTTTGTTTAGATTTGCAAGTAAATCAGATTTTATTTTATTGTTTTAATTGGAAGGTTTATTTTGTCTTTTCTTTGTTCGGTAAGATCCATGTAATTAAAAACCAGTTTTTATTAAGTGCTTTATTTTGAAATGAAAGCTTTGTAATTATGTTACAATTCCTAAATTGGATATTGCTTTATTTAATTTCCTTAGTATTTGAATTTTCTTTTTTTCATCTTTAGAATTTATTATAGACCATGATCACTTTTACGCGTTTTTTACAAATTCTACTAATTACTAAGTTTTCAAATATATTACTTGCACTCAATGTACAACATGTTCTGTAATGGCTGCTCTTTAAAAAAATTTTTAGAATCCTTGCCTAAAGTATAGTATGAAAAGTGTACATTTATAAATTAATATTTAAACTAATGAAATATAAACGAATCACTGCGGAAGTTGGCTGCACTGAAAACGTCGAAACTTGTTCGATTGCCAGAGGAAATAAGAGTTGAGAAGTTTTATGTCATTGCAAAATCAGCATTTTGTAATGAGGATAACTGTTTGTATGCAGTCGATTGAATTTATAATAAGAATTTTCACTCTCTTGAAAGACGAGAAAAAGTAAAGTTTTTACTGGTGTTATTTCACGAGGCTGGATGTGAAGCATTTCAATGGCGTTTCGATAAAGGGGAATTAACGAAAAATTTTACATATTCAATGGCGTCTATTTTTTTTCACTCTCTAAAATAGCCATTTTATTTCTGATATTTTTTTAAACGTACTCTTAATAACGCTCTTCCAAGGTTGCCATATCTGATCCGTCAACTGAGGTTACAGTGCCAATTTTTCAAATAAAAATTTTCAACCCTAACAGTACTTAACTCATTCGTTGTTCTGCTATAAGAATGCCTGTTATTGTAATGTTAGGAGTTTTTCCATCTACTAATAGTTTACGAGTAGAAAACTAACCCATTTGTTAAGTTATTGTGAATTAACATTCAGAGTATTTTTTATCAACATTGATTCATGAACCACCAGGACAGCCGGTAAGTTTTTTATATTTCTATTTATGTTTCATAAACATAATAATATTCTTCATTATTATCACATTATTTTACATTAACATAATTATAATCTATTTGTGTTGCATTGTGTTACATAAGCAAGTGGAAGGATAAGATTGTGAAATTTTTTCTATCTTAATTATGACGTTGGTTTGTCGGGCAATGTGACCCCGTCCAGGGCCTGATTATCGCCTAGGCCCAATAGGCATGGGCCTAGGGCCCACAATTTCTGAGGGGCCTCAAAAAATTAGTAAAAAGTCTAATGAAAGGTGGGCTAGCTTTGTGTTTTAAGTATTAAATAAAAAAACAGTGACTTTTTGCAAAAATCACTGATTTTAATTGTTTGTGACCACCAAACAATTTTTTATTTTTTGCTTTAATTTAATATATGTAAACTTTATTTTAGAAATATAATCTTCAATTGCCTGTTTTCAAAATTTCTTAGAATGTTTCTCTTGAATCATGCAGTTCAATAGATTCTTTTTCATTGTTAGGACTACTCTTCCGTAATTTAATTTCAAAATATCTTGTAAGGGACCCGAAAAATTTGGTAGGCCTTGGTCCCTGACCCCGTCATCTTTGATAAGAATAGGGGCCGTTCAAAAAGTACGTACATCCCGAGGGGGGGGATTTTGCTATTTTGTACGATGGGGAGGNCCCACAATTTCTGAGGGGCCTCAAAAATTAGTAAAAAGTCTAATGAAAGGTGGGCTAGCTTTGTGTTGGTTTAAGTATTAAATAAAAAAAACAGTGTTACAACAAGCAGTAATAAAAATCGGTGACTTTTAGCAAAAATCACTGCTTTTAATTGTCTGTGACCACCAAACTATTTTTATTTTGATGTAACATTGTTTTGTTGTTTTATATTTTGCTTTAATTTATAGATACGTAAACTTTATTTTAGAAATATAATTTTCAATTGTCTGTTTTCAAAATTTCTTAGAATGTATCTCTTGAATCATGCAGTTCAATAGATTCTTTTTCATTGTTAGGACTACTCTTCCGTAATTTAATTTCAAAATATCTTGTAAGGGACCCGAAAAATTTGGTGGGCCTGAATTTGTCTTCATCGATTCCTGACCCCGTCATCTTTAATATTAGGAATAGGTGCCGTTCAAAAAGTACGTACATCCCGAAGGGGGGATTTGCTATTTTGTACGATGGGGCGGGGGGGGGGGTATTATACAAAGTACGTACATTATGAGCATACACCAAAGATAAAGTTGGCTGATATTGTTTAAATGATTTTTATGAAAAAGGGGTGTAGACTAATAAGATGTACGTACTCTAAGGGGGGAGTAAGACCTTATGTACGGTAACGTACGAAGGAGGGGAGGGGGTTAAATTTTGTGTACGTACTTTTTGAACGGCCCCATACTCACTATACTATAAAGCTACTCTGTTCACCTCTTTCTGTCACGAATTGTCATAACGATTAATATGCCATATTGACTCTCGTAGCGAGAAGGATGCTATCATTTCTACAGATACACTACCAGTTCTCCGGAGAAAGAACGATTCAATTTTTGAACTTAGAAGTTTTTTTTCTTTAAGAAATAACTTTTTTTCTAATTCCAACCCATGTATTGACATTTCATCGCTTGGATATCAAAAATGCAGCCACTCTTTCAAGGGATAACGTATTAGGTGGCCAAGGGTACGTTCACAGTAAAAGACTGATAGTACAGAACGAGTACGAAGAAGTAAAGAACATTCATGCGTCTAACCGGAATTCGAGCCCGAAAGCTTTCAGACATGAGGTCAGCTCCCTGACCACTATATAGGCAGGTCTGCTAGTAATAAAACTGGAGCATTTCCCGCCATAACTTTTAAACGATAGTTACTCGAAAATTTCGTATCGGGGACATTGGAAAGTCGTTCATTTTTGCTCAGAAAGTGGACATGATTTTCAGACCTTCGTGGCCAAGGAAACGAAGAAGCAAATTCCTTTTAAAAGAACATTTCCAAAGATTTTTTTCATACAGCGTGTCATTTTACGTGCTAAACACATATGTTTTCTTTTTTCGTTCTTACTAATAACAATTATCTAAGCTATTACAACGGGGATCTAACAATTAATATAATTCTTAAAAATAATTAGTAATTAATTTACTTGAACTGTAACTCAAGTATACTTTTGCTTAGGTTGCCCTCAGCAAAGTAGTTGAGTTAAGAGGCAATTTTAAATCAAAAACTTCAAGTGGGCAAAGGTACTCCGGTTTTTTGGGTAACTTTGCCCTTTTATTTTTTTATAAAATTTTTTGCTGACAGAAAATAATAAAAATATTTTTAACAATTATAGATCAACTCTAAAGCCTCGAAATAAATTTCCTTTCTTCAACTGACTGATAGAGAAATACAGATTTTCATTACAAGTTTAAAATTGTAATGTAATTATATGTATATAAATATAATTATATAAGTTCAAAATGTAAAGAAAACATGGAAAAAAATACAGAACATTTTTGATCTTATTTTATGAGTTCTATTTATTTGCAGCTAATGCGCAGTAAATAAAACTTATTGTTTTTCTTAATTTTCTTCGTGTTTTTTTTTTTTTTTTTTTTTTTTTTTTTTTTTTTTTTTTTTTTTTGTATTTAGTATTTATTATGCTATATATACATACATATATATAATATCATATATTGATTTAAATGTCACTATACGTTACTCCATTTTTCGATATATATATATATATAATCTTCAGCTAATGATAGTTTTAACTTTATTAATAGCTAATATTAATTTGATTTTCAAAAATTTATTCATCATTTTATTTAATAATCGGTTGATGTAAAATTGTAAAAATTAGTTTTTATTCTCCTTTATTGGCTAAAGGAAAATATGCATATAAATAAATCACTATAAAATGACAAGAATTTGATTTCATAAAAATGCTTCAATTTATAATGCAGCTGGATATAATTCATCTAATTTTGGAGGCTTAACTCTTGGTGAAAGATTTTGAAGTAAAAAAAATATGTGCTAAAAATTCTCATAATGATGTACAAAGATGGCTCCTTCACGCTTGTTTAATTCTTCACAAGAAGCTTGAACACTTCTTGTCATCAGAGGTGGCCCACAGCTAAAAACAGCTATTTTGTTAACCTGAAATACAGTAATTAATGCGTAAAAATTAAGGTGATGTCTGAAACAAAATTAGGAGTATCATTATATCAGTATTTTTAGAATAAATTAGCTAATTAAAAAAATATTTCAGTTATACCGTTTTACTTTTCATTGTTCTCTATAAAAAATATATATGGCTTTGTGTAATTTTTGCTTAATTGTAATGCAGTACAACTCTACTGGATTTACCAGTAGACTACTGGATTTTGTTAGTTTCTACTGGCTTAATAATAATTCTCCTGATTTTTGTACATTTTAAAAAATTCCCTAAAATTCAGTAATTTTCTTTAAAAAATCCCTATTGAAATAGAATTTTTGTAGATTATTGCTTGAATATTTAAATAAGTATTACTAATGTATAATGAAGCGAACCTCATTTATAGAAATCAATACAGAACTTTTTTTGGTTCTAAAATGTTCAGTTTGTTTTTATTCAGAACTCTCTTTTTAAATGAATTAAAATTTTTTTTTAATTGTCTTTGATGAATTAAATGCCTATTAATATTCAAAATTATGAATAAACATAATACATAACATTTCAAGTATGTTTTATGTCCATCATAACTGGAAATTAGTGCAGTTTTTCTATTTTAATGACTATGAAAATCCCTGAATTTCCCTATGTGTAAAATATTTAGAGCATCATGCAGCAACTACCATGAAATTTATATTATTTTGTAAAATCTGCTGAATTTTTTCTTATCCATGTTGGCAGCTATCATTTTGGAAAGAAACTTCTGTAAGAAAACTAATTTTAAAAAATTATCAGATCACTGATGTTTAAAACAATTTTGAGGTAACTGCTTTTACAAATTCAAATTATGATTGTTTATAAGAGCGAAACACTTTAAAAAAAATATTATTGGACCTTTTTTTAAAGTGGTTGAACTTTTAGTTTTAGCCGGATCAAAGCAAAGTTTTCACCTGATATTATGCATATTTTACTAATTATGTACTTTCCTAATGTGGAATAATTAATCCAAATTTCAAAAGCTCGCCAGCACGGCTCGATATGCGTGTTTACGAAAATGAATTGGGATATAAAGCGCCTTTTCAAATTTTTTTATCCTAATTTAACAACAGAATATGGAATTACGTGCTTGCTTTTCCTTACATATTTAAACACTAAGCATAGTTATTATGGTGCAAGGTATATTACCGATGTAACGTTTCAGGTAATGTTTTCATATGAGGAACTCTGAGCGATAAAGCGATTCTAAATCTGAAAATTCCTACAACGTAAATTTACTATCATTGTTATGAATGTATAGTACGGCTTTGAGGAGAACTCCTCCGGACTGAAAATCTGGGGCTGTCTGCTGCTATGGTAACAAGCGAGAGTACATTACTAATGGGTGTGAAATGGAGGAAAGAAGGTGTCGATTGGTTTACTCACGATGACCTACGCCAAGATTAAGAATTCACCTCACACCCCTATTCGAAGTGACCTTTCCTCGTAACCATAGTACCCGCCACGACGTGAGACGGGTGCCTGGAGGAGTTCTGAAAGCCGCACTCTACCTTGCGAAAGCGACTGTTGACTTTGTTTTTTTTAAAAAAAGAAATGTATTTTAATAAAAGGTACAGAGTCATTTATGCAAAATGGACGAAAAAAATTACGAATTTATTTGGATTCATTTGTTTGTTCTTTTAAAAATAATAATTCGTTGGAGAAACGTGAAAAACGGAATTAAATGTTATGTTCATTTTCTTATGACACGCATTTCTAGCTGTGTTCATTTTGTAAACACGCATTTTCAGTTGTGCCTTCTACTTTTTATTTATTTTTTAATATACTGTTTGGAGCAATACAATGATAGGCCACATCTTCAAATGTTTAAAGAGAGTTTCAGATTTTTTTTTCCTAAAAAAAAAGCTGTCTGTAAAAAGGCAGTATGATGTTTTTGCTGTACTGTTAATCAGGGAAAATTTCGGAAATTTATAAAGTTTCTAGCACAAGAATATATTAAGGAGCAATTTGAAGTTAGACGTTACCACTCTTACAAAAATGTGACTTATCGCTATATTGTTACAAGCATTTCATATCTGTTAAAAGCTTACTTCAGCATGCTCCGCTCTCAATGAATTAAAAAAAACTTGAAAGTCTGGACGGCCGAAATGAGTTTTTGATTGTAGACCTGTAAATAAACTTCTACCACATACTTTCTGGAAATGACGTTCGCAAATATACTGAAATAAAATACAAAAATTTTAAATCTAAGTATTTAGACAATTACTTGATTTCAAAAGTAATATGAAAAAAATTTACCAGCATTGTTGTACGCAAGTCAAATTTTTCATAAAATTGTGTGATGAAAATGTGGACGTCAACAAGATTGTTTCTATCACTGTTTTCTACTTCTTGAATGATATCAATCATCCATTCGAATTGTTTTTGACTTCTAGTGACCCAGATAAAATATAACTGTAAAGGAACTCTCGTATTAGTTTATAATATACTTTTAGTCAAGAGTAAAAGAAACGTTATTAAAAATGATTCCATGAAGAAAAAAAATGAAATATAGTTTACTGTATATCATTCAAAATACCTTTTTACAAGAGATCTTGTGTTTCAACGAGGCTTTAAATACAATATCTTTCAATATGGATGCAAAAGGAGTGATGCCAATACCTCCACCTACGAGAACGGACACGTCATATCGAAACCAATCCTGGTGCCCTTCTCCATAAGGCCCATCGAGATAGATCTAAAGAGATGAAGAATTAATTTTATTAAACAACTTTACAAAATCCAGTTTTTTACTTAAACTTTGATGACAATATTTTAATGTCATTTCACTAGTCTATACTAAATCACATACAATTAGAGGTAGAATTTTGTGCCGAACATAGATTGATATAAGTCAAGAATGCACAAGGTGATCCCAAAAAATTATCTGTAAATTCATAGAGGTGATGAAAAACATCAAGAAGATGAAAATTTGCTGTAGAACATGGGGTTGCAAAAGATGCTGAGAAAGTGAAGATCCCGGAAAACATATCAGATTTCGGATGTCATGCTGGTGTAACAGATTAACTTTAATGCCAACAGATGGCGCGCAGACTGAATGAATATTAATGTTTTTATTTTGTTTCAGTGTTGATTACCATAGCTTCGATGAAAGATGATCGTTTTTGAAGACAAGCGACGCAGTATCGAAGTCTGGTAAAAAGATAGAACCAGGTAGGAAAGAATATTTGAATTATTTCTACTCTATTTCTTCAGCTGGAAAACAACTACAAACTTTTTAATAAAAAAAATTTCATTAATCAATTATTACAAGGGTTATTCGAAGTAGTCCCTGTTGATATCGTTGCACAGTCTTCACCGACGTTGTTATCTCTTTCCGGCTCAGTGTTACTAGTCTGCCAACACTTAATCCATAACTGTCAGAAACCCCTAGAAACATAAAACTATTTGCTTCTAAATGTTCATCAATTTTTACCATTATTCTTTAAGCAACTAAGAGATTAAGTATGCCTTTCCAGTAACACTACATGTCTAAGATCATAGAGTCCTTAATGTGCACGAAAATGTCAGGTGTGTTTTTGATCTGCCAAAGCAAAAATAGTCCTCAATGTGACATCCTCCCCCGGTGTGTCTACAGGCCTCGTACAAACTAATACTTTAAAGTTAGTTGATCCCATTGGAAAGAGTCACGCACAATCATGCATGAATCGCATGCTTTCTGCTCAGCGGTGGGTGCTAATTCACTTCAGGAAGGAAACTAGTTTGCAGAAAAGCAAGATTCGTTGCTATGTTCTGGCAGCAAGTACGGCCCCTAAGAGACAATCACTGAGAATTCTTGCCCAGACACTAAATCTGCAAAGAGATTTCCATAGAACTCTGGCATGATGTGTGTTGAAAATTTCTTCTTCTGTTAATTCTATAATTGGTTAATATTTTTTTTTTTTTTTTACCAGATATGTTGACAAAATACATGGCAGCAAATGCTGGGCAATTAACAAAGCAGACAAAGAGGAACTGATAACTTTCGAGAGAAAAATATTAAGAAAAATTCTTGGGGGCAGTAAGAGAAAACGATACTTGGAGAATTCGTTACAACCATATATTTCAATCAAAATACTAAGTATTAACATAGTAAAAATTATCAAGGTTTCTCAAATAAGGTGGCTAGGTACTTTTTTTGATTTAGCGTTGAAAATTCCGTTAAAAAAATAACCTTTCAAATACTATAGAGAAAAAGAGGAAGACATAGAACAAGATGGTTAGATAGAGTACAGAAGTTGTTAAAGGATTTGGGATTCAACAGATGGAGAAATATAGCATTGTATAGATCTAGATGGGATAAACTGACTGTAGTGCCTAAGAAGAAGAAATTGACAATTTTTTTTTGTTGAGTATAATTAAACACAATAGTTGATAGAATAAGAAAACGAGAAAGATTTATACTTTTATTGATTTTAGCTATTAATTGCTATTGATTTTGCTTTTTAATTTTAACTCACTAATTGGAATTCAAAACCCCTCTAAATGTATTTTTCTGGTATATCCAAAGAAAAAAAAGAATTTTAAAAAAAGGAAGAAAAAAAAACTACTACGCTTGGAATTCTTGACCGTTGCACGCAGCTAAACTGAAATTTCATAAAAAAAAAAAAAAGTAACCCATCATCGCAATTACGCACATGTTCTGTATGTGACCTTTCATAAAGAGAAAATCGAATTAAAAACATTTCAGGACCATAGACAAGTTACGACACCATCTGTTGAAATATATTGATGTTACATAATTTACTTAGAATTAAAACTAATGAAATACCAGAAAAGACAAGGTAAAAAATATGGATGCCCGAACTGCGCACTGATAAACCGGGGCAATCGCTAAATCAGTTAAAGAGTTAACATGGCTTCGTCAATAAATATAAAACTGACAGGAATTGGCGGGTAATTGGCAAACTGCTGCATCATGGTTTCTTCCATTAGAGGACTGCGTACATTGCACGGTCTCTCTGCACCAGCCATGGTGAATGGAAGGTCCCCATCTCTCGTAGTCTACGATCGATTGTAGCGAAGGTACTATGGTGCAGACAACGTCTCATCAATATCGCTGTTGATACATCAGCCGCGGTGCCATCTTCTCGACCTAGCATAAAATGCATATTCCTGATGGTTTGTGTATCAAACACATATTCCATTACCTCAATAGCGCAATTCGTTGGCACAATTACTTATTAGTAATTAACCCTGTTAATTTACAACGCATTTGCATTCTCTGCTAAGAGTGAAAAATATAAACCACGGAGTCTTGGGTTAGAGTCTCTTCGCCGTCAGACTAACCGTGGGAGGTTCTTGTAGTCTTCCTCTCCATGTAACGCAAATGCGGGTTAGTTCCATGAAAAAGTCCTCCACGAAGGCAAATTCTTCTCAATACTTGATCCAGGAGTTCCCTTGTCTTCTGGATTGGGTTCAAAATTACAAGGATGCGGAGTTGAACATTGGCAGTNTGCTGTTCAACGACGGTTATAAACCACGGAGTCAGACCGTGATAGCCTGGTTGGTAGGGCACTGGGCCCATGTCCAAGAGGTCATGGGTTCGATCCCCGCCTGCCGAAGACTCTCCATGTAGGCTAATACTAAGGCACGGAATATTTATTTGTAATATTAAAAAGTAAATAGATATGAAAGTATGTGACATTTTAAAATCTCTGAAACCTTGTAATAAGTTTATTGCAGTGCTTTTACGTAATGATTTGAGCAGATTACAGATTGAGCAATTACAGAATTTGAGCTACAGTTGATTAACATCTCTAACATTAAATAATTAATAAAATTAATGTATAAAGTTTTTTTTTTGTTAAAGTTTTATAATTAATGAAATTAATGTAGAACGTTTTTTTTAAAAATTTTGCAACATAAATATAGTTTAATTAAGGTAACTATTTATGAATGGTGGCATTGTTACAGAAAATATTACCTTTGGGTAAGCGTGACGTTGTAAATTATTGGGATCGTACATTTTACGCAAGTTTGTAGTCCAAGGTCCAACAGCCCTGATGTGCAAGCTCAAATTTTCTTCATGGGGAGCCGATGATAAAGTAAAGGGATGGTATTCATTTTTGTTTAAAGGTAGGCAAGCTATTCGAACCCATTGGCCACTCTTGTATTCAAAATTATGTGGTTTCTTGAATTCTAGGTGTGTAACTCCTGCAAAATATGAATATTTTGCATATTTTTTATAAACATATACATTTTATTACTATACATTTTAATACTCAATATAATAAAACTTAATTAGAAAGCCCAAAGCTTTCAAAAACTTGATTTTCTGAAGGAAAAAAAATATATGCAGAGCTTTCAATAAACTTAAAAGCAGAATTTTGTAAATAGTTTTAGGTAATTGTTTTATTAATGTATCATTTGCTTCAAAAAAAAATCAAACAGAAAATAAATTATATTATAAAAAGAAATTGTATCATATTTTTAAAATCTAGAAAAAATTGATATAATTTTAAAATTTTAGTTTAGTCTTTTACTGTTTTAGAAGATAGAGAGAATAATATCAACAGCCAATAAGGAGGCCTAACTGTAATTCATACGTGCTCATAAAAAATTGCAATTTTATTCATAAGACTAAGTAAAGAAAAATTTAATGAGAAAGATTTAATTCAAGTTTCCTTTTTCTTAATGCTTTTGTTAAATACTAAATATTTATGTAAGTATAACCATACTGTAACACAAGGTGGTGCACTTTAAGAGTCAGAGTAATTATTTAACCATAGAAAAGTATAGTCGCTCAAAACAACTTATTAAAAACTTTTTCTTGTTTTTGTTATATCCTGAAGTATTTTTGTCGATAATAATTTTAAGTAAATATTAAAGAAGTCTGTAAAGATAGCCAACACTAAAAGCACATTGTTTCAAATTTTTGGGAAAATATTTATAAATATTAGTAACCTATTTAAAAATCGTAATGAAAAAGCTGTTTATTTTTAAAGCTCTATACATCCTCTGATGGAATGAATTAGTTTTCAGATTTGGCCACTATTAAAAGAAGCATATTACATAGTTTGTAGAATCAACTAATTTCAGGATAGTTCTTAGTTCTTTCTTAGTTTTTAATATTTTGTTTTAATGCAAACATTTGTGCATAAATTGAACATATTTTCATTCCTACCTATGATATATACTTTCCATTATTACGATATCTTTCAAACGTTTTATATGTTTTCAAATTGCTTCTAAGAACGTCGTAAGTAAGATTTCATTTCGTGGTTAAAATCAACTTTTTCCCCTGCAAAATTTTGCAGAAAACGGAATAGTTATAAATCTATAGAAAAATTGTCAAATGAAATAGGGATTTTCATATTTTGAGCACTTCCCATTTCAACTCTTCATTTTATTGCCGGGATGGGACGTGTCGTCTGTCAATGCAACATTGAAGGATGAAAAATTTAGATGCTTTGCTTATATTTCAACATTTAGTTAACTGATGTAGTTGAATCACAGAATTTTCAGTGTTTACTCTTTATTAAACCGGAAAAAACCCTGTAAAAAGCCAGTATTCCTCTGCAATACTACCAACTATGGGCAAACGTTCACAGTTTATATGCGATTCAGGCACAAAAGCTATTGAAATCATGCAATAGAGATGTCTAAGCTGACGTCACTTCACTTACCTTTCCATTGGCAATCCATGATGAATTTGTTACAGATAGCAACCTATAGAAATACCTTTTTTTGGGGATGGGAATCCGAATCATCCAATCGGAATAAAACATACTACGTTTGATTGATTTATTCTTACTCAAGTGATATAGTTCAGCCTCTGGCTTGGACATAAAACACTCTATACATAAAAATCATGTTTTTAAAGCTGAACTTAAACTTAGTTTGACATGCTTAACAAATTGTGTTCTTCATGTGGAACGGCTCATCTAAATGTTTTTGAAGAAGTTTATTGTGACTGATTAAGATGGATACGATTTTAAATAATTGTTTTATATATATATTTATGCCTAAAAATGGAAATATGTGTGATTCTACCTGATGNACAACAACAACAACAAGCATCTAAGAACGTCGTAAATAAGATTTCATTTTGTGCTTAAAATCAATTTTTTCCCCTTCAAAAATTTGCAGAAAACGGAATAGTTATACATCTATAGAAAAATGGTCAAACGAAATAGATATTTTCAGATTTGATCATTTCCCATTTCATCTCTTCATCTTTTTGCCGAAAACCTGTAAAAAGCCACTGTTCTTCTGCAATACTACCAACTATGGCTAAACGTTCAGTTTATATGCGATTCAGCACAAGCTACTGAAACCATGCAATAGAGATGTCTTGGCTGACGTCACTTTACTTAAACTTTCTATTGGCAATCCATGATCAATTAATTACAGATAGCAACCTATAGAAATACGTTTTTTGGGGATGGGAATCCGAATCATCCAATCGGAATAAAACATACTACGTTTGATTGATTTATTCTTACTCAAGTGATATAGTTCAGCCTCTGGCTTGGACATCTCTATACATAAAAATCATGTTTTTAAAGCTGAACGTAAACTTAGTTTGACATGCTTAACAAACTGAGTACTTCACGTGGAACGGCTCATCTAAATGTTTTTGAAGAAGTTTATTGTGACTGATTAAGATGCATACGATTTTAAATAAATGCTTTACATATATATTTATGCTTAAAAATGGAAATATGTGTGATTCTACCTGATGGTAGTAGTTCAGCTTTTACTACAGGAATTTCAACAGTCTTTCTACTAATGCTGATTAATCTATCGATTGTAAACAATACACATGGGAATAAGAAGTAGTGATAGAATATCGGTCCTTGAATCAAATGTCCCATTCCATGAAGAAACATCAAAATGTATAATATCGGATATAAGTTGTGGGTTTTCCAAAATGCGTTAAAAACATGCCGCCGAGCAAACTGTATCGCAAACACATACATCAAACTTAGAACCAGTACCAAAAATACACCAGTAATTCCTGAAATGAAAAACAATGATTTGATCAAATTATTTCATGCATTCAAGAATAACCAGATAAGTAATTAAACTATTTTTTTAGTTCATTAAAATATACATGATTAATCCTATCAAAGATAAAATTTAATCAAATGCTGCACGATAAAGCATTTATGCGTCAATTTTCCATTGATATATTTATAAGGATGTTAAAAACCCTCGAACGTTTCGCCTTTTTCAATTAAACAAGACCCAAATCTTGAGTGAATCAGTGATTTTTCGTAATACATAGATTCTGGACATATAGCAACAGTTGCCTATCTTCTAATATTCCTGGATCAAAAGGCACAAACTGTTTTAACTCGCGAACCTCCACCCATTTTATTTATTTATTTATTATTTTTATTTATTTTTACTGTAGTTAAAAAAAAACATACACATTTTATGTAATTGAAAAGGCCAGTAAAAAAGTATTTTCGGGAGCATTTTTAGGAGAGTAAAAATTAGTGAAAGAGCTAAATACAAGAGATTATAAAAGAACTTGAAGGGCAAAGCATTTCATTCAAGAAGACGTACAATTTTGTACAAAGTTATTAAAAAATGTTTAAGAATAGAGTTATCGCAACATCTTATTTTATTCCTTAATTACGAACTGCATTCTATCCAAGGGTCATAACACCTCGTAAATTCGTTTTTCTTACATTCAGTACAAACATATTTTTATTTTATTTTTTAAACAGAATATTTATTTTTTTGAAATAAAAAAAATCTTTGATAACTTACTTTGTAATACAGTCTGTTCAAAAATTTTAAAATTTAGTAGCAGGGGCAGTATTTTATGTACACCTTGTATTTGTAAATCAAATACATTTATTAGTGAATGTACCGGGTGACCAACAATTCGAAATTTTACTTGAGGAAATACGGAAGAAGTTAGAAATGTACAGTTTGTTGCGTTCGACTAAAATTTTTCACCAAATTTTAAAATTAATCACACAGTTTGTCAACAGATGGTGCCACTAACTAAAAAATTAAAAAATATTTTCCAATTACCAACATTTTCAGAAACAACATGGTGCAGCATGATAGCAAAATTAAGAGATCTTGCTAAAGATTTCAGTTGGAGTTGTCTGACACGCTATGAAAAACATTATTTGATGGTTTTTTTCCAATTAGCAGTGCCATCTGTTGATGAAATTTGTAGCTTATTGATATTTTGTGAAAAATACATACTTAGTTTCCTTAGCAGAAAATAGCTACAGACATATATGTATATCCTCCTGTTTTTCTTTGATTTTTCAATTCACCGATCTTTTTTTAAGACATTTGGATTTATAAATCACGCATTGCCTAAGTTTAAGAAGCAATTTTTTTTATATGCACTGAATTCATTGCAACTTTTATAAAGAATTTATAATGTGAAGTTAATTTACAATAAATATTTATTCCTCTAAAAAGAAATAAAAAAAATAACATTAAAGTTGTTAAATAAATAAATAAAAATGCTAACTTACCTGTAACGGTTTGAAACAGCCAATATGGCAACTTAGGTGGGTCTATTGGACTAAAACAATATAAAAGGAGAAAATTGATATCAGTTGTAAAAATAATTAACTAAAAGTTCTTTTTCGTATTTGCGAAATATTTTAATGTATAATTAATTAAATTGAAAACATACTCGACCATACATCCGTTATTTTACAAGACATAAACTTCTTATTTTATAGAGTATTAGTCACTGTTATTTTTACGGATTATAAACTATTGTTATTTTATAAGCTATAAAATTTAAATTTCAGTTTCTTATTAATAAATAAGCCTCGATAGCATGATGATTGAGGCACTAAGCTGTCATTGTAAAGGACTGGGGTTCTATCCCTAGTCGCGGCTTGATGCTCACCTAGCTTCAGATCGAAGGATGGAATTGAATGTGTGAAAAGTAAAGGTGGTCGGTGCGTTAGATTACTACTATCATACTATTAGAAATGAAAAATGGAGAATCTTTACTTCCATGACGCTTCTGGTTAATGATGATTTGTTGCGGGAATGCTTTTACTTTTCTAAGAAAACTTCAATATAAATCTAAAAATCCAAAAAAAAAAAAAATAGTCATTCAAAAATTATCTGACTTAAATACCGGACAAGGCACTGTACAGAGTGCTTCAAAATCCAACTGACAATTTCAGAGGGGGGATAAAAAATATCAAAGAGATGTAAATTTATCATAGAATAAGTGATCACGGACAACGTTGAAAGGGTGATACGTAGATCTTGTAGTGCCTATTGTCGTCGCTTCTGCAGGTGCTAAAAGTATGCCTGATATCTTTGAGAGCAATCACGAATCATTTTTACGTCGTTGTAATCTTTGAAATGAAGCCGGATGCTATTTTGAGCAAATATTGAAATAATTTATCAAATGAATTTTTTTGTAGTTGTTTTCAGTGTGGCGCTGAAACCTGCATACTTTTTCCATATATATATACACACACCGAAGAGCCATTACATTATGACCACCCTCCATCTATAACAATGGGCTCGCTCAGGTTTTCATGGTTTCTCGCCCAGGAACAATTTTTTCACGGGCCACATTAGGACCCATAATCCTCATAGAACAATTCCTGACGTCTGTAAGATACTTGAACATAGTTGCAGACCAGGTTAACCATTCATGGCAACAGTTTTTCCTGCAGGGGATGGTGTTTACCAACAGGATAATGCACCATGTCATAAGGGTCGAATCGTCGAGGAATATTCCAGTGACTTTCAAGTCATGTCTTGGCCCCCAAATTCACCTGACCTTAATCCAATAGAGCATTTGGGGTCCTACTTGGAAAACCAAATTCGTACTGCCACACTACCCCCTCACAATGTGAGGGAATTGTAGGACCAGTTGGTGAGCACTTGGTACCAGATACCTCAGACTACCTATCAGCACCTTGTGGAATCAATGCCACGGCGGGTGCTAGCAGTTTTGAGGGCTGAAGGTGGTCCTACATGTTATTAGCAGGGTGGTCATATTGTAATGGCTCTTCGGTGTATATATTATGTCTTAACCGAATAATATGTTTGAAAATAATACATCTTTTTACCTCTAAAGTGAGGAGGATTGTTTATTTTACATTTATAATTGAACTTCTTTCCTGAATAATTAAGTTAATAATTTAATTAGGTTTATCCTTTCTTAAACTGTTGCAAAGGAAATAATTCTTACTTTAAATGAAAGTTTGGAAACAGACATTGTAGATCACTCACAGTTTGAGTAGCAACGTGATAAAAATTAATACCATGTCCAATGATATGAAACACTGTAAAGAAAAAAAAAAGAATCACCATTTAAAACTTTAATTAAAAATTAAATAATATTACAGCAAACTTAAGATTCTTAAGTTAAATTGTTTAAGATCTATTTCAAACTTTCAGTGATTTGCAAGGTTTTTATGCTATTAAATACAAAAGTATAAAATTTTTTCCTTTTTAGATTCATGTATTTGTTTAGTTGGATGCATTGTGTGTCTAAATTAATAATATTCATATTTATATCGACATTTTTAAAACCAATACTATATTGCATACATAATATCGTATCCTTGAAAGATTACTTAATTTCTAAACTTCTCAAGTGGTTTGACATGTTATCATTGTTACACAAACGGATAACGCTGTTCGGAAACGTAATATCGGGGTTTTAAATTACAGCAGGAATATGATTTTTGATAAGATTAAACTTCTTGATNAGGATAATGCACCATGTCATAAGAGAGTAAATGTTTCTGCACAAAATAAATAGATAAATAAATAATAATAATAAAAACTATTTGTTCGTAGCGTTCTTTTAAAAAGATAGTTCTGTTTTTTTTTTTTTAAATATAAAAAGAGAAAAGTGGTAGCTAAGTGGTCATTATTAGGATTTATTTAATAGTATATCTATCTTCCTATCTATCCTATTCCTATCTTCCGATCTATCTTCCTCAGTATATTAACAAAAAAAAATTTCTATTCGGATCTCAAGTAAAAGCAAAGTGTTTTTTTTTTGAAGCTAAAGTGATGTTCTCCTTAGAAAGTTTGTGTGACTTAGGCTTGCATGTTGATGTTTTTAATTTTAAGAATAATTCCAAGTTTTCATCAATAAGACGGCTTCCAAATTTACTCTTGATAAGGTTCATACGTGAACATAATTTTTTGCATGATTATGTAGACCTGAATGAGGAGAGTACAGCAAACGCTAGTTTCTTTTCAGCTGCCCTATTGGAAAAAATTCGGAAAGCCAGTATCAAAAACCAGTAACAATGATACCAGAACCAGTATAACTATACCAGAAATTTAAAATCTGGTATGAAACTATACTGGAAATTTTAAAACCTGGTATGGCACCATACTGGAAATTTTAAAACCAGTATAGCACCATACGGGAAATTTTAAAACCAGTATAGCCCCATACTGGAAAGTTTAAAACTAGTATGACCTCACACTGGAAATTTTAAAACCAGTATGTAGCATACTGGAAATTTTGATACCAGTTTTTAAACATGATGGAAATTTCGAAACCAGTTAGAATCCATGCTGGAAATTTTGAAGTAGCTAGTTTTAAAATATACTAACTTAAATTCTTAGAAAGTGCATATTTTTCCGTAAATTTAACAGGTTTCGACATTTTCAAACTAGCTTACTTCTTCACTAAATTAATTATTTTACAAAGTCTTCGTTTTTTTTTCTTCTTGATTATATACTAATTTCTAATAATTAATTTCTTAGATTTTTATAAGAACTCTATTAAGAGTGGAAGAAATATATTAAGAGTGGTGAAAACGTACACTTTCTATGTACATCAATTTTTAAAAAAAATGCATATTTAAAATTATTAAAACATTTTATAATTTTGGATGATTATATAAGTCAGGAATATAATACCACTTGTTAAAAATCAATACATCTTTTGCCAAAACAGACCACTTGTAGATTGAACTTACAGTCTGTTTATGGAAAGAACTCCCCTCGCCATTCGTCTGAGTGGCGCTGACTATGGTTACGAGGATTAACTATTTCACAAGGGATGTTAGATCAATATATTTAACCCTTTGGCTACTAACGGGACTCATTTGTCCCAACAAATGTTTAAAAATTACTAATGGGCATATGTATCCCACCATTAAGTACGGCTGGGACATATATGTCCCAGCCTCTAAATTGATAACCGCTGGACAGAAAAATCCCAAATACTAAATTTGCCTTATTTGTGACCTATTTTGTCCCTTTGAATTATAAACAGGACAAAAAAAACATTTTTTAAAATTCGTAGTCAAAGGGTTAAAACAGGTTTTGGCCCCAGTCAGGGGAAAGAGAAGCTCCCCTCTTTAAAATGAGTTGTTTCTTGTTTCCATAGCAACAGACGACCCCAGAGTTTGTGGCGAGGGGAGTTCTCTCTATAGACCAACTAAAGGTGACATTTGTTTTTCTCCAATATTTCTATACCAGCGCTAAAACGTTCAAACTTCCTGCTCCTTAATTCTATTTTTTATTTTTTTTATCCAGCATTGGATTTTAAAGTTACCAATGTCAATATGAAAGGGAGAAAAATTTAATTCTTTCCCAATAGTACTAAGAGGTGTTTTTTTTAATTTTTTTTTTTTTTTTTTTTTTTTAACAAAAGCTAACGTCTCTTCGTTGTTTCTGAATTTCTGAAATCTATTCAGACAAACTTCTTTCTAATTTAAAACTGCTGTTTTGAAGTAGCAAAATTCAATAATAGAATTATATTCTTTTAGAGATATTTCAAAAGACATAGAAAGTGAATCAAAATTTCTAACACTAGATCAAAACGAGATAATCTGTTTGCAAATGAAATAACTAACTATATTTAACTTTTATCTTGTTTCATTTTAACTAAAATTTGAATTATTAATTAGTCTTATGCTTCTTATAATTATGTAACTCACTTGAGCTCAGATCGGAGGTTAAGTATCCATATTAAGTATTCCGTATGTTCATGTCTAAGTCGAGGAAGGGACACAATCGAACGCGGATATCAGTGTTATTGATACTCGTTGGTTCAATTGTACTGAAATCCGTACTGGTTCATTTATAGATACAGTGAAAATTAGGTGTATTTTCAGTTGTTCTCAAACTTGTGTAAAGTTTGACAGTTTTTGTGTTGTATTTTATTTTCTTGTTTCAAAAGCTGTCGTTGAGCAGCCGCCCCAACATTTGGGTTTACGACTACTAATGTTCAACTTGGTAGCCTTGTAATTTTGAACCCAATCCAGAAGACAAGGGAACTCCTGGATCAAGTATTGGGAGAAATTAGCCTTTGTGGATGACTTTTTGATGGAACTAACCCCCATTTGCGTTACATGGATAGGAAGACCACGAGAACCTCCCATGGTTAGCCTGACGGCAAGGGGACTCTAACCCATGATCCGTCTACCACTGAAGATATTTCACGTCAGCACTGTGGTTGGTGCAAGCCGAATGCAGAATTCGTATCGACCAGCCATCGCCGGGATCGAACTCTGGTTCACCTCATTGGAAGGCGAACGCTCTATTTCCTGAGCCATCGCGACTTTGCGTTGCATTTTATAAGTTTTTGAGTTTCATGTTTCTTGCTTTTATGTGCAAGCAAACATGTGCTGTTTTGCAGAAGAGCTAGCAAACCAAGGTTTACCGACCACTGATTTAAATAAATATATTCATTAGATGTTTTTCAAGTGTATACCACTTTTTGTGTTTGCACATTAATGAGTTAAATATATATCACGCTACATATCATCGTGAAGTTATTGTGCACAAAAGTTTGAATTTCACTTTCTGATACTAGTAAAGGATTTTAACTTACGAGTAAATATGAGTCCCCAAAATGCAATGTATTTGTGAAAGGAGATAGCAGCATCGAAAGGCACGTATTTATGGAAAAAAGTCTCCCTTAAGAAAGTGATAGTGTTTCGGCACATAGTGAGCAGAATGACACTGAAGCAAAACATCATTGAGCTTGCTGCTCCTCTAGTGACAGTAACACCATATCCTGCAATTCTTCTGAATCCTGTATGTTCCGCTTCAACTGAATAATCTAAAATAATCAATACATTAGAGTTCTAAAACTTGCCCCTTGACCTGATGGTTGTAAATAAAGTAATAGAAGGTTGTAAATAAATCAAAGTAATGGAGGGTAGTAAATAAAACAAAATACTTGGAAAACGTCCAAGCAAAATTGCATTGATTTCCTTTAATACATACACCGAAGAGCCATTACATTATGACCAATCTCCATCTAAAACAATGGACTCGCCCAGCTTTTCATGGTTTCTCGCCCAGGAAGGAATGCTTTCATGGGGCACATTAGGACCCATAATCCTCATAGAACAATCCTTGACGTCTGTAAGCTACTTGAATAATAGTTGCAGATCAGGTTCACCCATTCATTGCAAAAGTTTTCCTGCGGAGGATGGTGTTTACCAACAGGATAATGCACCATGTCATAAGAGTCGAATCGTCATGATTGGTTCGACGAACATTCCAATGACTTTCAAGTCATGTCTTGGCCCCCAAATTCACCTGATCTTAATCCAATAGAGCATTTGTGGTCCTACTTGGAAAACCAAATTCGTGTTGCCACGCTATCCCGTCGCAATGTGAGGGAATTGCAGGACCAGTTGGTGAGCGCTTGGTACCAGATACCTCAGACTACCTATCAGCACCTTGTGGAATCAATGCCATGGCGGGTACTTACAGTTTTGAGGGCTAAAGGTGGTCCAACATGTTATTAGCAGGGAGGTCATATTGTTATGGCTCTTCGGTGTATATTCTGCAGAAAAGCCTTGTGCAAGATAACAAGAGACACTAAAGTACAGTTGTATTTTTGGTTAATGTTAGCGGTGGAACGCTCTACAGTTAAAACTTTCCTTATGGCATATTGTTTGATCACCCAATTTCAACGGATAATTCCCAGATAATCAATCTGTGGAAAGGAGACTACTCAAATACGCATTCTTAGTCAGATCAACTCGTAGACCCATTGTCCTATACATTCTTAGGCTTAATGTAATCCTTAGATGCATTTTTTGCCATGATTTAAATCCTTTGACATGCCATACTATTTTTTTATACCCGAAGTTGAACAGCTAACCCAATTCTGAGTTTACTTAACAATCAACTCCGTAGCCTTGTGATTTTGAACCCAACCCAGAACACAAAATATCACTCATTGTGACTAACTTGCCTTCGTTGAGGACTTTTCGAGGGAACTAATCAGTATCTGTGTTGCATGGAGAGGAAAACTGCGTAAACTTCCCACTGTTAGCCCAACGGCTAGGGGATTCTAGCCCATAATCCGTCTACCACTGAGAATATGTTACGTCAGCACTGTGATCGATGCGATCAGGGAGCAGAATTCGTATTAACTAGCTACCGCTGAGATTCGAACCCGGGTCACCTGGACGACAATCTGTCCCCTGAACTACCATGGCATGGCATATGATTTCAAGTGGTAAAAACTACACTGTCTGTTTCAACGTCACACAATATTACTTTATTTACAGCTCTTTATTATATATTTAAAAAACTTGTCAAAGGTAAAATCTATGGGAAATGCATTGCAGTGAATTGAAGTAAATAAGTATTAAAACAAACTAAATAAAAGAAAATGAAATGAAAAGAAGCATTGATTGGAAATGCTACTAAAAAATGACAATCGAAAAAAATCATTTGAGTTACAAAGGAGCCCCTATAGATGAAATCACAAAGCAAATCTAACCATGACATGAAAGTAAGCAAAAAGAAAAGAAATACTAAAACATAAATGTTAATCGAAATATTTCACAATTTGTTTTGATGAGAAACAATTATGGAGATTGGTAAATGATATCGAGTAGGGGTACTCTGCATGTTCTACTTAAATCATTTATTGCAACAGAGTAATTTCAGAGATTTGCCCGATGTGATTTGTATTTATGTTTGAAAAACTGCAATATTTTGTAACCATGCATCTGTTCTTAAAATATTTTAGTACAAAATGTGAACGCGTAAAAATAATTTTATTCATATGTATTTTAAAAGAAAACTATTTAAGATTCTATTTTCTGATTGACCATCTAACGAAGAATTGACCAGCAACATTATATTATCGCAAAACTGGACTTTAAACTTAAAACTGGACGTTTCGAAATAATTCATTTGAGGAATCGTATCGTTTAAGAAAAGGCTGTAAAGATCATCATGTTACAAGAAATTTTTTTGTCGTAATTTAATTATACATTTATTAATTCTACGAAGTGTGTTATTTATTTTATTAATAATGATACAACACATTATTTAACAATAATGGCTGGTTTCCATTAATGTTGAATGATGAGAAAATTTATCTATTTATTAATTTTCTGATAATAACATTATTTCAAATTTTGATAATTTTTAACCATTAATGTTCAAATGATGCCTAACCAGAAAAGTGTCTTGAAGTGTTTAATTTAAATAAAAAATATTTTGACATTTTGTCTATACTTTAGAAAACAAAAGCCTTAATGAATTAAATAAACAAATAAGAAGGAAATTATTATAGGGATTAATATTTCTCATATATTTATATTGTGTGTATTACCAGTAGAAACTTAAACTCGTTCCAATTTTCTATTATTTTGCTATAAAACATATTAATAAATGAAGTTAAAAACGTATTCGCTAGAGGTCAAAAATTAATATTTACGCAAAAAAAAAAGACTTTAAATTTTACAAATTTCTATATTTTTATTTTTTTTACCTTGCCTTTCTCAATAATAATGCAGCAGAGTTTGATAGTATTTCTGTATCTTTCTCACTTATTAATTTGCGACCTCTAATATAACTACTTTTTGGCTTCATTTTTTACAAGTATTCTAAAAATGTATATTAAGGTTGATGATTATAGAACACCTTTCTGTATACTTTTTTTTTAAAAATAACGGCAGACACTGAACTTTTGTTCTTCACCTGGGAAGATGTCGGAAGTGTTGCTCATTTAACGTTACCCAGTGGGCACCTGTGAACCTAAGTCACAGAGGAGAGCAACATTACCCACTGCCACAGATACCCGTTTACAGGGTGGGCCACATTCACACAGTAGAGAACAACACACAGAGAGAAACATCCATGCCCTAAGCGGGATTCGAACCCGCAACCATTGACTTCACAATCAGGCACGCTGATCGCTCGGCCACCTGGCCTTTCTGCATACAAACATTACCTAATTTGTATTAGATTACTGAAGATTAAATTCAGAGAGAATTATAAAAATAACTTACAGTATGCTTTTTGAATAAAGATGCCAAAAATCACCAAAGTAAAAATCAATATCCAAAATATGTGTTGGCGGTAGTTTTCAATGAAACGAATCACTTGATTAACTTTCTGTTTCGTTCTATCTTTCTCATATAAATTTGGCCTTGTTTCAACTCGAAGACACGTTTCTGCTCTTCTTCGATGAGGAACATTTTCCGGACCCACTACGCTATAAAATAACATTCATCATCAATAACAATTTTAAGAGTTTTAGTGAAAAAAATATTTCTATTACTAATTTCATAAGTTTTTTTTTTGATGTAAGAAAAAAAAATTTAAGATTGCGTACCTGTAAGCTCTTAAAACAGTTTCTTCTGCTCTAACAGCCATACTTTTACGGTTTCCTGGAGCGCTTGTCTTAAATCCATCGCCAACTACAAAAATAAATAAATAAAATTAATATTCTCAATTTTTACTCTCTCTCTAATCTCTATGGAAACAAATATCAATCAAATAAAATTAAAATTTCAGTGCCAATATTATTCTGATTTCATTCATAAAAATGGGCCATGGTATTTTAAAAAATCGAAACTGCTTTGAATCATAATATTTATTGTTTATTTCCTCTTAAAACATGTTGGAGAAAGAAGGATAATACCGAATAGTTGTTGGAGCTAAACTGTTCGATCTAAAAACAGTAAGATTTAATCAAGATATTCATTGCTCAGATGTGTTCAATATATCAGTCCTGAGGAATCATTGATGCCCTTTTATTTAATAAATGACTCTTTTTTTTCTCCCCAGAAAAAGTCAAATCACCCGGTTATACCTCACTACTGGGGTAAAACCGAGTTAACTGGGAATTTAGAAATACTAGAATTTCAGTCAAAAAGTAGCAGGCATTTTTATTTTAAGTGGCAGTTGAAGAAAATTATGCACGCAATTTATATTTGTGTAGTCAAGACCGTACTCAAGGAGGGGAGAGAGAAGGACAATCATCCTGGGGCCCGGGACTGCTGAGGGCCCTACAAAAATTCCTTACAAAAAATATAGGGCTAATTTTTAGTTTTTTTAAAAGAAAATTGCAGAGAATTTCTTTATATCGATATAAAAATTACGTTTTTGCATAAAGGGTTTTCATTTCTACTAAATATGAAAATAAGGCTTTTTGTGCTTTGAAGAAGGAGCACGCATTAAATTTTGCTTTTTGTGCTTTGAAGAAGGAGCACGCATTAAATTTTGCTTCTTGTGCTTTGAAGAAGGAGCACGCATTAAATTTTGCTTCTTGTGCTTTGAAGAAGGAGCACGCATTAAATTTTGCTTCTTGTGCTTTGAAGAAGGAGCACGCATTAAATTTNTGATATATTAAAAATCGAAACTGTTTTGAATCATAATATTTATAGTTTATTTCTTCGTAAAACCATGTTAGAGAAAGAGGGGTAATACTGGATAGCTGTTGGAGCTGAACTGTCAAACTGTCATTTAATCAAGATATTCGCTGTTTAGATGTGTACAATACATCAGTCCTGAGAAATCATTGATGCCCTTTTTTTTATTTTTTTATAAATGACTCTTTTTTTTTCCCTAGAAAAAGTAAAAGCACCCGGTAATACCTCACTAGTGGGTAAAACCGAATTAACTGGGAATTTAGAAATACTAGAATTTCAGTTAAAAAGTTGCAGGCATTTTTATTTTAAATGGCAATTAAAGGAAATTTTGCATATAATTTATATTTGTGTAATCAAGACCGTACTCAAAGAGGGGAGAGAGAAGGACAATCATTCTGGGGCAAGGGACTGCTGAGGGCCCTACAAAAATTCCTTACAAAAAATATAGGGCTTAATTTTTAGTTTTTTTTTTTTTAAGAAAATTGCAGAGAATTTCTTTATATCGATATAAAAATTACGATTTTGCATAAAGGGTTTTCATTTCTACTAAATATGAAAATAAGGCTTTTTGTGCTTTGAAGAAGGAGCACGCATTAAATTTTGCTTCTTGTGCTTTGAATTGAATTTGCACGCATTAAATTTTGCTTCTTGTGCTTTGAATTGAATTGCACGCATTGATTGAATTGCACGCATTAAATTTTGCTTCTTGTGCTTTGAAGAAGGAGCACGCATTAAATTTTGCTTTTTCTGCTTTGAAGAAGGAGCACGCATTAAATTTCGCTTTTGGTGCTTTGAAGAAGGAGCACGCATTAAATTTTGTGCTGGGGGCTTGTAAAACTTATGTCCAGTCTTAGATGTAGCTTTCTTCTTCCTCCAAAATGATGTAGATTTCTTGGGCTCTACATAGACAAGCATCAAGGGGGTATCCGGTCTGTGCCCGAGAGCAGAGTTTATCGAATAGTAAACGTATAATAAGCTGGACTGAAAATAATTTTTATAACTCTAAGGACCAATAAATAAGGATAGTGTGAAAACAGTAGAGCATTACAGAGTTGACATAGATCAACAAACCTATCTACACAGACGCCGTGAATTAAAAAACAACACGCCAATATAGTACTTGACTAATAAAGCGCAATTCAGAGTTTGTCAGCTAGAAAACTGAACTAATTTCTACACAATTGAGGTACTCAGTACCTCAATTGTGTAGAAATTAGTACTCAGGTACTACACAATAGAGTATTTACACAATTGTACTACACAATTGAGAAATTAATAATCAGGTACTACACAATTGAGGTACTTACCCCCACTTTCCCGTATATATTCTGCGATATGTACTTTTCTTTATGTAAGAAATACTTTAGTTGGCAATAAAAACTCTTTTTTTTTCTGGTAAATGCTTCAGATTGATGCAAATGAGACAATTTTACACCCAATTCCGAATTAATATAATTGTAACAAAATGCATGTTAAATATTATTTAAACAAAATTCTTTTAACAATACAATTCTTTTAACTAAAAATTACACGAGGCGACACTGATGAAATTTAAACACTAATATGTTTAAACTTCATGGAATATTTAATGTCGTAATTACAGAAGCTTCTCCCTTAATTTTTCTTCTTTTCATCTATAGTTTCTATTTTTTATTAAGTCCTGTACAAAATAAAAAAAAAATTAATTGATATATTTAACGATTTTAATTTTTGCAAGTTATGCCACAGTTTTCTTGCACAAAAATAAATTAGTAGATCGAATGATTCTAATTATTGAAATTTATATTAATCAATAATAAAATTAATAGATTGAATGGATTTATTTATTTCAATTTATGCCACATTTTTTCTTCATGTAAAATTAAATTATTAGACAGTGTAATTTCAACTATTGGGATTTATGCAACATCTTTCTCATATCAAGTTTTACAAAAAAGTATTTGCTATTGAAGCTTAGCTGCACGTATTCAAGTTCTTCTCTGTTTTTATGCAATATTTATGCGGATTTATGCAACATCTCTCTCATATGAAGTTTTACAAAAAAGTATTTACTATTGAAGCTTAGCTGCACGTATCCAAGTTCTTCTCTGTGATCAGCTAACAGGTGGGAGAAATCATCGAAAGTAATTTCATGTTTGTTTTGGAGACCAGCTGCAGACGTAAACATTGTTGCTGTCAATTCATCCAATTGATCACTGGTCAAGGATTGATTTGCCAGTTCTAATAGTGACCTATAGAAGAAAACAGTTATCTATAACTATACTTGAAGATTTAGGTTTTTTTATGAAAGGAAATATTATATTCAATAATTCATTGCAATAATAATGAAGCCCGGTGGCTGAGCGATAGCGCACGGTATATAACGGTAGCCACAGGTCCCTGGTTTGATCCTCGGGCCGGGCAAGGTTGACTCAGCCTCCTGCACCCCAGAGCCCAAGGTCAAGAAAACAGAGATGGGCACAGTAGGCCTTGGCCCTCTTTAGGCTGTCACGCCACTGAGTTTTTAATTTAATTTTTAGTGTGATAATTACAATGTTATTGATGTTAAAAAAATACCCATTATGAATTAAAATAATGGGAGGAATTGCAATGTCTTAAAACTAAATAAGATCATAAAAGAAACAGGTATGTTTCTTTTAAAAAAATTATTGTAATAAATTATATAATTTCTCCGAGGTTCTTGATTCTAGTCTTTACTTGCAAATTTATTAATGTAATTTTAAAATGAAAATTTTTAAATAGTGCTGATTATCTTTGATTTTATACAAATTAAATTTATTTTATGTAAAACGAATTTTATTTTCTTGAAAAATAATAAATTGTGGTATTTTAAAGTGTTAAGTCCTTATGAAATAATGAGTTTGAAGTAAAAATGAATTCCACGAATTAGGTTTTTACAATGAAAATACAGCGAAGTTCGTGAAATATGGATTGAATCAAATATAAAAATGCATCTTGGGTAGTAGACACTTCTCTCCGTTTGCACGGTCAAACAATATTTTGAATTTTAAATATTTTATTAATTATTAGTTTAAAATATTAGGGAAATATACTCTTATAGAATTTTAAAGCTCATTAAGAAAATCTGGCAAATATTCCATCCAACATAATACATTTTCTTAGAAAAATAATAAATTTTAAACATTTTTAATATTTGTAACTTAATAAGTTTTTAAAAAGTTAAAAAAAATGATGACAATCATTAATTTACTGCACGAAATACTAAATGTGATGCAAATAAGTTACTTACTTTAATTATTTATATTAATTAATTAATAAAGATGAGTATGTACCTTATCATTTCTGAAAATTCTCGTCGAGTCAGTTTGCCAGAATGATCAATATCATATATATCAAACATCAATTTTATTTTATCTTCTGGACTCCCTACGAATGAAAATAAAGTGAAAAATTTGTATGAAATATTTTGAATTTTACAAAATTAATTTACATTAGTGTGTAAAATTAATAAGCATTTTACTAAAAGTAAATTAATGCATTTTCTTTTTAAACTAATAAAACATTAAAATAAGCAAGCACTTTCCTCTTTCTCTCTGTGTTTCCGGACTGAGAAAGATGCCTATTCTAAGTATCAAATATATATATAGATATATATATATACAATATATAATCTTAAACCTTTTTTTACTTTCATTGCGTTTTTTTAAATTATTTCTTTCTTTCTTTATTTACTTTACATATTACAGCATAAAATGAACTAGTTATTTTTATACGACTGTAATATTGAATTTCAAATATCTGAATCTGTCTAACGGCCTAACTAATATCTGAGTTTTTTCCAGATATTATTACTTATGAACCACTCTCAATAAATTTCAGAATTTTCAACAGAAAAAAACCTATATTTTCTTGTACATAAATATTTTCTATGACAGCTATTCATTGGATAAGAGCTATACACTTTGAACTAGAACTGAGATTCCCCTCCCATAAACTACAGTTAATCTCTATTTTTTTAAACGTGGCTTTTAGGTTAAAATGGGGACCTTAAAAATTAATTTCGAATTTTTGCACTACATAATCTATAATTTTTGAATACAAATACTCATAGAAAAATCATTCTGCAAAATATTGCCGAACTTAAACTTAACAAGAAACATTATTAAAAAAAAAAAATTCTGTTTTTTTGCAAAAAAAGCGACTAAACTTTTAATGCTATAAGGTCTAATTTCAAAATTATTTTCATCGATTTACACCGAGAAATATATCTTCTTAAGTGTGACTAAAATAGCAATATAGTAAAAAGAGAGTATTTCTGTAAAATAACGCTGTTCACTTAATGTATGAGTTGCAAATTGAAAAAAAATAAATAAATAATCGAGATTTTTTCAATGCATATTTGACAAAATTTTCAAAGAGTATCGAGTTTTCTGATAGAACCTGACAAATTTTTTTAACTACAATTGCAAATTTTAATTACAAATATTTCAAAATGAGATATTATTAGTTTCGTACCTTTAGCAAAGATTACGATGACATTTAGAAATTCTCGGAACGATACGTATCCATTTCCGTCAGCATCAATTAAAGAAAACATTTGTTTTACAAACAGCGCGTCAGGACGAAGAGACAAGGCTTCAGAAAATTCATAGGGAGTCAATTCCATTTTCACAATATCCTTCGCTTGATTATAGTCAATGTCTAAATCCTCTGTATGCTCGTGATGGATTGAGAAAGCCTAAATCGGAATAAATATTTTATTCTTTTCAAGAAATAAAAGTAATCCTTTACATTACTTTGGAAGTTTTCTTTTTTATGAAAATTTCGGAGTATAGAGATTTAAGGCTTGATTTTTTCAGAGAAAAAAATCAATGGATAAAAAAAAAATCAAGACGATAATATACTTAAGTCAAGACAATAATATACATAACAGACGATAATATACTTAAGTCAAGATGATAATATACATAACAGACGATAATATACTTAAGTTAAGACGATAATATGCATAACAGACGATAATATACTTAAGTCAAGACGATAATATACATAACAGACGATAATATACTTAAGTCAAGATGATAATATACATAACAGACGATAATATACTTAAGTCAAGACGATAANATTGCTTTGGAAGTTTTCTTTTTTATGAAAATTTCGGAGTATAGAGATTCAAGCCTTGATTTTTTCAGAAAAAAAAATCAATGGATAAAAAAAAAATCAAGACGATAATATATTTAACAGACGATAATATACTTAAGTCAAGACGATAATATACATAACAGACGATAATATACTCAAGTCAAGACGATAATATACATAACAGACGATAATATACTTAAGTCAAGACGATAATATACATAACAGAGTGTTTAATTCACGTCTCAAAAATCATTAATTTTGATTGTTTTTCAACAAAAATCTCATTTGATCTAAAGAGTACACTGTCAGAAAAATTGTCAATATTGAACCCTATTATCGGTGCTTTGAACCATAATACCGGGCAAAGTTAGTACAACTTTATCAAAGGGCTAAATTAAACCATGTTTCTCTAAGATTGAACCATATTATCATCTAATCAAGTTCAAGAATTTGCATGATAATACAGTAAAACTTGGCAACGTATTAAGATTGCATAAAATTTAAAAGACGTTAAGATTCAATACATTTAAAATTTCTAACAGAATTGAGTTCTGGTTTATCAATATTATTCATATTGCAAGTTAAAAGTCAAGAATTAATTATCAAAATCTGACTACAATGGGCACCTTAATCACTCTGAATGCTTTACATATCTTTCCACGTATTATTGTGATAAGCATAATGTTTTCAAGTAAACCATTAAAAAACATTCAAGTATGTTTATGTTTAACAATAATAAAAAGGAAATTACGAGTGAAATATACCTGTGCAAAGACAATTCGGAAAAATTTTTCCAACTGTTTTTGTCTGTGAGCTTTAGTGACAGCAGATTTCAACATATGCTTTGCATTAGATTCATATCTTTGTCGACCTATACCAATTCTTCCAAGAAATGCTTCAATTCTCTCAACAAATATTTCTTTTTCTTCTTGGGTCTCAAATTTTAAAACCTGAAATATAAACGTATAGTGGAATAGGAATAATTTTACGGAATAGCCGATGACCCAGGAATGTCATCGTTACCATTATCATAATTATAAATATATTCAACTTGTTCAACACCAGTTTCGCATGTCGAACAATTTGGGCATTTAAAAATATGTTATACCAGTTAAATGCCTATAACACATATAATTTTAAAGATAATGTCAAGAGTTGGTTGTTGTAATGTGAAAGAATTGGTTACGTAGAAAATTTATAAAATTGAATTCTGAAACTTCATAAAGGAAAAAATTGAACATGAATTGCTCAATGAGAGCTCACTTTTAATTCCTGAACAGTTTATGCTCAGGATCTGAAATTTGAATAGCAGAAAAAAAAAGGAATTTTAGCCCGGTATCTTAAAAATCGTTCGAAAATTACAATTAGATCCTTCGGGAGAGACGTTTGAAAAAAGAATTTTTCTCGTTGGTTTTGTGTTAGCTTTTGTTATAAATTAAATTGCAGACGATTCTGTTTTTCCCTTAAAATATTAAAAAGATAATACCAGTGATGTTCGCAAGCTTACAGCTCTATTTAACTAAAAAATTATACCGTACGTTCCTTAATATTTAATTTAATGGTAAGCTAAATTATAAACGTGGATGACGTGTGAAGGCTACATCTCCGAGTTAGCATTTCTGAAATTATCTGAAACCAAAATTTTATTTTGTTTATTGCTACTTTTTTGAAATGTGCTTCTATAAAACTGAATAATTTAAAACCAACGGTAATTGAAATTGAAAAAAAAAGTTATGTACTAAAAGCAGAATTAATGGAGAAAATGCATTTAGACGTTTAGGGAAATCCCCTCGTTAGGAAGAAATCTCCATACCATTATTGAAGCCTACATTTCATAATTAATTTTTGTAACTAGTACTACTAACATTATTATTACTATAAGGTGCTGTTTTCATAGATACTAAATATGGTTAATTAATGTAGGTACTGCTGCAGCAGATATTTTTGGCCCCTCGAAAGGGACATGTACCGGAACAAATTGCTTAGATGTTATAAATGTGAACTATCATGAGTTGGACGCTCGAGCAATAGCATCATTCCAAATAATACTGAATCAATAGTTAATCTTTATTTTGATGGGATGAACTTCTAACTATGTGGTTTTCTCGACCTAATAACGTAGGTAAACGAGAATGCAACAAATAATAATAAATAAAAAAATTCAAATTATTTTACATTTTTCAAATGTGTTGGTATATGACTTTCAGTTTTTTGTATGATTTCGTAGAGTTGAATAATACCGAATAATTAATTTGATAATTTACTTTTTTCCCACTCGAAGAAGTTAGTCCATAAAAAACTCATTTCTATCATAAAATCTAAAACGGAAAAAGGTAAAATATTTGCCCAATTGGTTCATCACACCTTTGATGGTACATTATACGTCGAAAATTAATTTGTGCATTTAATTGAATTTCCCCGGAGTTTTATGATAAGCTGAAAGGAGCTGTGAGCTGACCAATTTATTAACGAATTATAAACATAAACTAACCTTGCACCACCATCACGCTTGCAGACGCAAATGCAGTTGCAAGACACAAACTTCTGCCCCATTCCTTCAGGAAACCCCTCATTACTGACTTTGATTGCTTCAGAATCTTAACATCAACAATTACAAGACTAAGAACAAACCACTTTAAAGGGATGAAAATTCTTCCCGACAAAATAAAAACTTATATTCCCTGCAAGAACTGTCCCTATATCCAACTTACCCCGGATCACATTCTCGAGTGCCCAGCCCTTACCTCATATGTTTTACAACTGGCTATGGTGCCACTGGCTCAGAACTTCGTGAGATCCTCTACAGTAATGATGTATTGGAGCTAGCGGATGCAGTTTTGAAGTGACGCGAGGCCATTTAATTGTCCATGGACACGATTAAAAAAAAACATAAACTCCTATCAATTATGCCTTTTTTGCCACCCTATTAAAAACTAGAGAATAGTAAAATAATGAAGTGAAATTTGTTTTGTGATTTTCTCATTTGTTACATACACAGCAGAACATCGATGTTTCATTTAAGACCTCACATAATACGCGATGTAATTTTCATTTGGCGACACACAAGTTAAAGTTTTATTATATCCACGTAACAAAAATTCAAAAGAGAATAAGTGGGATTAACTACTTACTAAATCATATTCTCGAGATATGCGCATTAGGACATAATGAAGGTGACCTCCAGTACTAACGTGGATTTCAACGCTCTGAACATATTTAAAATCAATAGATCGAAGAATTTCTTTGTTTAAAAGACTAATAGTGACTTGCTTTTTCTCTGGAATAAATCGGATGATAATATCCTTGAGACCTTCCCTTTTACCGATCCACTCCGTAACTGCAATACAAAGTATCATTGGTACAGTGAGCAAAAATAGGAAATGGAACACCTTAAGAACTTTTGGTCTGATGATCGGATTGTCATGTACTAAATGCAATCTTAATTGTTCGGAGGACTAGACTTAAATATGCGGAATAATCCATGCAGACGGTATTTTTAGTTGCTAAAACACGATCGAACTGAATGTACTTTGACTGAATGAACATAGTTTTTGTTCGAGAGATTGAAGCGGTTTATGTTTGTAAAATTATTGAGCTTGACTATAAGGTTTGGCTTTAAATCTATCTAAACCTTATATACTCTAGAACAGTGGTTTCCAACTTCCATGAGGCCGGGGGCCACAATTAAAAACACAAATCAAATGGCGGGCCGCAACTTTATCAAAATTTTTTGTAGGACGCTTTCATGTTTGAAGGAACATTAAATATTACTGTCAGAGTTTTACCAAGTTGTACAAAACAAAAGTATTGAATTACAAATAAAAATAAGAAGTTGTAACGAACTCTCCTCTTTCCCCCACTACAGCGCCTCTGGCGGTGAAGTAAGACAGTCTGCCAGGAACCGCCGTTAAGTACGGATGTATAATTCGAGCCCAAAACCCCCTCTTCCAAATTCTTGTATTTTTTTATCCTTGTTTTATTTTTATGTGTTTTGTCCTTTTCAATAAATATTTAGAGTTAGATAATTTCTAGTCTTTCATTATTTATGTGAATTGGTAGAAATACAAATAAACCAGGACTTCCCCTACAANAAAGGAGCGGTGAGCTGACCAATTTATTAACGAATTATAAACATAAACTAACCTTGCACCACCATCACGCTTGCAGACGCAAATGCAGTTGCAAGACACAGACTTCTGCCCCATTCCTTCAGGAAACCCCTCATTACTGACTTTGATTGTTCCAGAATCTTAACATCAACAATTACAAGACTAAGAACAAACCACTTTAAGCGGATGAAAATTCTTCCCGACAAAATAAGAACTTATATTCCCTGCAAGAACTGCACCGATATCCAACTTACCCCGGATTGCATTTTCGAGTGCCCAGCCCTTACCCCATATGTTTTAGAACTAGGTATGGTGACACTGGTTTCAGAACTTCGTGAGATCCTCTACAGTAATGATGTATTGGAGCTAGCGTCTGCAGTTTTGAAGGCACACGAGGCCATTTAATTGTCCATGGACACGATTAAAAAACAAACAAACATAAACTCCTATCAATTACGCCTCTTTTGCCACCCTATTAAAAACTAGAGAATAGTAAAATAATGACGTGAAATTTGTTTTGTGATTTTCTCATTTTTTACATACGCAGCAGAACATCGATGTTTCATTTAAGACCTCACATAATACGCGATGTAATTTTCATTTGGCGACACACAAGTTAAAGTTTTATTATATCCACGTAACAAAAATTCAAAAGAGAATAAGTGGGATTAACTACTTACTAAATCATATTCTCGAGATATGCGCATTAGGACATAATGAAGGTGACCTCCAGTACTAACGTGGATTTCAACGCTCTGAACATATTTAAAATCAATAGATCGAAGAATTTCTTTGTTTAAAAGACTAATAGTGACTTGCTTTTTCTCTGGAATAAATCGGATGATAATATCCTTGAGACCTTCCCTTTTACCAATCCACTCTGTAACTGCAATACAAAGTATCATTGGTACAGTGAGCAAAAATAAGAAATGGAACACCTTAAGAACTTTTGGTCTAATGACCGGATTGTCACATGCTAAAGGCAATCCTAATGGTTCAGAGGACTAAACTTAAATATGCGGAATAATCAATGCAGACGGTATTTTTAGTTACTAAAACACGAGCGAACTAAAAAAGGCGAACTGAATGTACTTTGATTGAATGAATATAGCTTTTGTTCGAGAGATTGAAGCGGTTTATGTATGTAAAATTACTCAGGTTGACTATAGGGTTTGGCTTTAAATCTATCTAAACCATATATGCTCTAAAACTATAAACCACAATCAGTAAAATATAGTCACAATAATTTTGGCAGAAGGGGGATCAGAAGTTTAATGTAAATTTCAATATTTTCGCCATATCTCGGAAAATGGGTAAGCGATTTTTGTATTTATTTTATTTAATATTTTTTCATATTTCCTATTGTTTAATTTAATATCCGCCAAAAAGACTTTTGAATTGATAGGTGAACGCAATTTAAATAACTTTAAGCTTTGTAATATTAAATGACAAAATACGTAATTGTTCCATAAATTTCTGAGAATTAAAATTTCGAGAAGTCGTATTTTTAAATTTTTATTTCTCAGAAACTACACTGGTTATCATAAATTAAGGAAAATTCACAAAAATCGCGATAACTCAAGAAATTACACATGGAATTTTATGAAACTTACCCACAATATACAACACATAGTAAGGTATTAAACAACATAAAAAGAAATTATCAGACATTAATAGTAGTATAGAAATTAGCACATGTATAAAATAAACAAATTGGAAGTATCGGTTTGCAATAGAAAAAGTACCTTTAATATGGAATATGATTGCCTCTAGAAGCAATACAGCACAAACAGCGATGTGTGATGCTTTCAATTATGCGGTCTATCAGTTCAATAGGAAGTGAGAGCCATTGCTCTTG